CTAATTTTCAGACATTAAAACATTTTTTCTATATGAGGACACTGATTTTATGAATATCAGTTTACTGACATTTGACGCATAAAAGTGTTCTTACATCGACAGTACATCGGAGTGAGTTTAGTTTTACGCCGCAGTCAGCAATATTCCAGCTTATATGATGGCGGTGTGTATATAATCGAGTCTGGACCAGGCAATCCAGTGATCGACAGCATGAGCATCTATCTATATCGACAATTCCTCGTTTTAATGCGACACAGCGTGTTACGTAATGCAAATGTAAAGCTCTAAAATGATGACATTCTCTACTTACATAAATGTGGTTGTCCGATTCTATGATTTTTCATTAAAATGATGACATTCTCTACTTACATCAATGTGGTTGTCCGATTCTATGATTTTTCATTAAGATGATAACATTCTCTACTTACATACATGTGGTTGTCCGATTCTATGATTTTTCATTAAAATGATGACATTCTCTATTTACATAAATGTGGTTGTCCGATTCTATGATTTTTCACTAAAATGATGACATTCTCTACTTACATACATGTGGTTGTCCGATTCTATGATTTGTCACTAAAATGATGACATTCTCTACTTACATAAATGTGGTTGTCCGATTCTATGATTTTTCATTAAAATGATAACATTCTATCCTTACATAAAAGTGGTTGTCCGATTCTATGATTTTTCATTAAAATGATAACATTCTCTACTTACATACATGTGGTTGTCCGATTCTATGATTTTTCACCGGATTCACAAATTTCCAGTTTAATGGATCAGACAGTCCAGTGGTTGAAGTCATGAGCATCGACCCATGCAGTCACGACACCATAACCGCCATCAGCTGCTCAACAATGAACAATGGTCTTCTGCGTCTTCTCCGGGATTCGAAAATAGGCATTCTGTCAGTCATTTTTCTGGAATTGTGTAGCTCTGAACACATCCTTTGCCAGTGGGGCGGTGGGGTAGCCTAGTGGTTAAAGCGTTGGCTCGTCACGCCGAAGACCCGGGTTCGAATCCACAGGGCTACAATGTGTGAAGCCCATTTCTGGTGTCCCCGGCCGTGATGTTGCTGGAATATTGCTAAAAGCGGCGTAAAACCAAACTCAGTCAGTCAGTCAGTCCTTTGCCAGTGCTCACAATCTTCTCAGTTTGTTTACCGCAGCACTCAGCAATATTCCAGCTAGCTATATGATGTAAAGTAAGCGATCTGTAAATTATCGGGTCTGTACCAGGTAATCCAGTGATTGACATCACGAGCATCGATCTACTTGATGCGATGACATGTGTCAACCAAGTCAACGAGCCTGACCACCCGATCCCATTAGTCGGTTCTTACGACAATCATGGGTTGCTAAGACCAGTTCTAACCCGGATGTTCATTGATGCCGCTTATGTGAGAAAAGAAATCTTTCTTTTCCTGATCAGTCAAACCATTTCCATATAATTGACCGGATCTAACTTGTCCTATCGGAAGGGTCACAAGAGTATAGTACCGTCAACTGCTGCAACAGAGTCATTACATATGGATAATAATAAAATACACACTTTATTCAAGACATTTACGGTTCTTTAAGTATAACAAATTCATATAGTAAAATTATGCAGACGGACTGGGCTTGCAAAGATAAAACACCAAAGCCAAATTCTATCCAGTATGAAATCGCTTTATTATTTTTGAATTCCCACGTGTAACCATTTATACACGACCTATCATTACTTATTTGCAGCCAGGTTGCGCGTCCTTCCGGTTTCAAATTAACTGTTTCACAACCATATTCACCCCGAAAACAGGAAGACAGCAAAACATTGAACAAAACTTGAAAATATTCATAAACAAGAAAACATTGTGTCCAGGGACACGGATGCCCTCGCTGACATTCATAAGACATATAAAGATCAATAATTGAACAAAATTCACGAACAAGTTCAATAAACATCTATGCAACTATGAGATGCACACCTTTCGAGTCCCAATGAAACACATGTATCAGCTTAATCAATTCTGTTGAGCAGTTTTTTGTGGATAAGTGGATAGACTTAATCCCTTATTTCACTATCATCAGATAGAAATTCTACAAAATTGATCTAAGTTCAAATGACTCTAAACATACACAAAACTATAAAATACAAAAACAAAACAACATGAGATGCACACCTTTAGAGTCTCTATAAAAGACACATGTAAGCTAAATGAGTTTTGTGTAGTGGTTTTTGAGGAGAAGTGGATAAAGTACACCCCCTGTTGTATGAGACGAACAGGATGAATAGAACCAAATTCAACTAAGTTCAAACATCTGTAGAAGTGACAAAATTAAGAAATTGGATGAACAAGGTATGAGATGCACACCTTTAGAGTTCCAATGAAACACACGTAGAAGCTCAATCAATTCTGTTGAGCAGCTTTTGTGGAGAAGTGGATAGACTTCATCCCCTACAACACTAAATTCAGAGAGAAATTCAACAAAATTTATCTAAGTTCAAACGGCATTAAAATTGGAAAAATAAATAAAATACAAAATCAAAATATGAGATGCACACCTTTAGAGAAGTGGATAACGTACACCCCCTGTTGGATGGAACGAACACTGGCTGAATAGAACAAAATTCAACTAAGTTCAAACATCTGTAAAAGTGACAAAATAAAGAAATTGCATAAAAAATTATGAAACGCACACCTTTAGAGTCCCTACAAAAGACATGTAGAAGTTCATTCAATTCTGTTGAGCAGTTTTTGTGGAGAAGTTGATTGACTTCACCCCCTATTACACTATCATCATAGAGAAATTCAACAAAATGTACCTAAGTTCAAATGTCTCTAAACTTACAACAACAAAAAATAAAATAAAAAAACAAAATGTGAGATGCACACCATTAGAGTCCCAAGAAAGCCCATGTATAAGTTCATTGAATTCCACATAGCGGTTATGGTGGAAAAGTGGATAGAATACATTCCCTGTTTCGTACGGACGGACCTCATATATGGCGGGGGCATAAAAAACAACACTGTAGATTTTTGTTTTCAACCAGCAATGGTACCTGACATCACCACCTTCAACACCTGACAACGTCTCCATCAACACCTGACACCACCTCCATCAACACCTGACATCACCTCCATCAACACCTGACATCACTCTCCATCAACACCTGACATCACTTCCATCATACTTGACACCTGACACCTCTATCAACACCTGGACATCACCACCTCAGCATCACTCTATCACCAATACTTGAATACACCTGACATCACACTTAATCACGTCCATGACACCTTCCCTATCACACCACCTTCCATCTATCAACACTTGACATCACCTCTATCAACACCTGACATCACTTCCATCAACACCTGACATCACCTCCATCAACACCTTGACATCACTTTACATCAACACCTGACATCACTCTTACATCAACACCTGACACCACTTCCATCAATCACCTCTTGACACTACCTCCATCAAATACCTGACACTCTGACACTACACTTCAACACCTGACATCACTCTCCATCAACACCTGACACCACTTCCACCAACACCTGACATCACCTACATCAACACCTGACACCACCCCCATCAACACCTGACATCACCTCCATCAACACCTGACACCACCCCCACCAACACCTGACACCACCCCATCAACACCTGACATCACCTCCATCAACCGCGTGACACCACCTCCATCAACACCTGACACCACTCCCATCAATACCTGACACCACCCCATCAACACCTGACACCTCCACCAACACCTGACACCACCTCCACCAACACCTGACACCACCCCCACCAACACCTGACACCACCTCCACCAACACCTGACATCACTTCCACCTGACATCACTTTCCATCAACACCTGACATCACTTCCACCAACACCTGACATCCCTCCCATCAACACCTGACACCCCCCACCAACACCTGACCCATCAACACCTGACACCACCTCCACCAACACGTGACACCACTTCCATCAACACCTGACATCACCCCTCCACCAACACCTGACATCACTCCCACTGACATCACTTCTTACCTGACATCAACACCTGACATCACCTCCATCATCAACACCTGACATCCCATCCTGACGCGAGCCTCCATCAACACCTGACATCAACACCATCAACACCTGACATCACCTCCACAACACCTGACATGACATCACCTCCATCAACACCTGACATCACCACCTCTATCAACACCCGACACCACCCCCACCAACACCCACGCCACACACCTGACATCACACCTGACACCACCTCACCGCCACCAACACCTGACATCACCTCCACCTGACATCACCTCCATCAACACCTGACACCACCTCCACCAACACCTGACATCACCTCCATCAACACCTGACATCACCTCCATCAACACCTGACATCACCTCCACCAACACCTGACACCACCTCCACCAACACCTGACATCACATGACACTCCACCAACACCTGACATCACCTCCATCAACACCTGACATCACCTCCATCAACACCTGACATCACCTCCACCAACACCTGACATCACCTCCATCAACACATGACAACACTTCCATCAACACTTGACGTCTCCATGAACACCTGACATGAACTCAATGAACACCTAACATCACTTCCATGAACACCTGACACCACATCCATCAACACCTGACATCACTTCCGCCTCCTTCAACACCTGACATCACCTCCATCAACATCTGACACCACCTCACCTCTACCAACATCCGACACCACCTCATCAACACCTGACACCAGCTCCATCAACACCTGACACCAGCTCCATCAACAACATCGACCTACATCACACTATTTTGTAAACAGCAACAACGCCGCCTTTGTAGGAAACATACACTTTGCCACCTTGGCCAAAAGCACACAGCGTGGTTCAGACAGATTGTTCTGCATTGTATCAACAACACACAAAGTTCTCCCCTCAGGGGGAAAAGATCAGGATCTCATTCCTATACATGTCACACGCTATGATACGTCCATTTGCACCAAAGATGGCGTCTGAAGGCCGCCACTTCTTGCCGTTCCGTTTGTGTCCGTTGACCTTGAGGAAAAGGCCATCTTTCTCCGACTCGAGACACACGGACCCGTTCATTTGCCAAGAGCACGCGATGACCACATCGTCTGCTACGTACCGAAGGGATTTCATCTCACCTTTGACCTTACTGGTCCAATTTCTGACCATCTCGCCTGTTGTCGTCATGACCCGCATCTCCTTATTTGGCAGATTGCCAACAATGATGTGGTCGCCGAAGTTGGCGACAATAGGATCACAAGTCATCTCTCCGTTTCGTGCCAAGGGTATTTTGGACTGAACTTGCAGATGTTTTGTTAATATAACAAGGTAGTTTTCATAGATGGCGCAGATGGTATTGTCATTATCAACACACACAAACCGTTTGAAAAGGTCACATTTTCCATTCTGATTTACCAAAACAATTATCTTACCATTATCATAGAAATCTTTCAGCTTTGCATTTGAGTCGTCTAAAATCAAAAGTCTATCTTTATCTTTAAAGGCAATAGAGCTAATATTAGGTTGTGATTTATCAGTGCTAATTTGTGTGCTGAACTGACTCTTGTATGATAAAACCCTTCCTCTGTTGCGTCTATCCCGTGAAGGTTTATCTCAAGAAATTCTTTTGCTGCCCTGTCTTTAGACTGTGAAGCATCCTTATCTCCAATCTCTTGATCACCCCCATCACCGTTGGCTGTTGTGTCCATTACCCATTCCTGTGGTGTGCTGGTGGGATGCGTGGTTTGTATCTTCGGTTCTTCCTTGAGTGATTTGGGTATGGAAGATTTCGGTGTAACCTGGGAATCTGCACAAAAACATGGTACATTTGTTCTTCCTTGGGCCATTGGAACTTCACGAAAAGTGATAACTTCTGCGTCAACTGGAAGGTTTATATTAACCTTATATGTAGTCAGAGTACCTGTAGATGACACGGCAGGTTCCTCTGCATATTCTTTCAGCCCCTGTTGAAGAGTCTGGGACAGCAACAGAAGAGTCAGCCCACCACCCTCTTCCACCTGCTGACATACTCGGACAACCTCCTCCCTTCTTTCAGACTCAGAGTACACCAGCTCCAGCATCCTTTGCCTCCTCCTCCTCTCGCCCTCAAAACTTCTCCTGCCCTTCTCCAACACCTCAGAACTCTTCTCTGAGATCTTCTCCATCACAGCAGCAACTGACGAAGTCAGCTCACTCACAAATATTTCTTCCTCTTTGTTTAACTGATCCATCTCCGCTTGCAGTGTTTTGGCAGAGTCTTGAATACTGGAAGACGTCGCCCCTACCATTGACAGTGCCTGTTTCAATGACTCACGCCTTTTGTCAGCTGCTTCGTCTACAGTGTCAAACTGATGTTTCTTGTGCTCAGCAAAGGCACAATGAACACATACTGCCTCAGAACATGTGTGACAGAAAATGCTCAATGTTTCGCGGTGTTTGTCACAAATCTGTTCCTCCTTCTCAAGAAAGTGTTTATCGTACTGACCTTGTCTGATGTCATCAAGGGAGACCACTCGATGTGTCGCTGTAAGAGTTGAAGAGTTATGTCTCATTGAGCATGTTTCACAAAGTTTGTCGCCACAATCCAGGCAATGGTGAGTGGTTTCACAAAAATCGCCTTTCATTGAACAAACCACACAGTTAGAGGCCTGTGGTGTGCGACTAGCATACACCCTCTGACGTCCTAGTATATAGAAGTTTGTCGTTAGAGAGCTCGCTGATTTCGTCTGTAGCCGAGTTTTATGCTTGCACAGAGGACATTGGAAGATATGCCCACCGCCCTCGGTAGTAAGCCGTTCTTCAATACAAAGCTGACAGAATGAATGGAGACACGTCAAAAGTTTGGGGGAGGAGAACGGCTGTTGGCACAGCCTACAGGTGATGTCTTCATGAGGTACCGGTATTTTTCCGGGTGTCGATATTGACGCCATATTGCTTCACCTGGAACCAAAATGGACAATAGTTTAAGTTGTACCTATATGATTCAAGATAGACGCTCAATTCACCCTCAGAGCAGACTGAAATTGTTTCTTTAGGTGGTGTTCACGTCCTACTTTATCACCTTTATTTATGGAGAACAATAGTGATCTGCACGTGGCGCATCTATCTATCGATCTATCTATCTATCTATCTATCGTCTGGGGCAGTGGGGTAGCCTTGTGCCTATAGCGTTCACTCGTCTCGCACAAGACCCGGGTTCGATTAGCATTAGCACTGTCGAGTGTCGTTGTACTAAGTTAAATTTGAAATTTGTTTGATATGTTTCACACACGTCTAGTGCATTTAAGTCATAAATGCATGATTAAAATATTTTCCTTACGTGAGAGCTTTAACTACTTTCGACTTATCTAAACAAAACGTGGGACAGTATATTTAATTGGGATTCTCTGGACGTGATATGTATTTCCATGGCGATTGCTGAGCTTTACGGAACTAACTATTCATTCACCGCTGGCGTTTATTAAAGTATTTCCGGTAACCGTCTCTCGCGATAATTTGCAGGGGACGAGTGAAATCTTACGGATCGCTACATGCAGCAACTATTTTCACTTTCATGGACAATTATAACAAGCGTTAATATGTGTCTCACAGTCCTTAGAAAATAACTAACATAAACAAACCGTGACCTATATGTGTACATGTCATGTGTCATATGTCATGTGTTCATAACAGGCCTTCCTTTAGCGCGGTATAACGAGGATAATCACTCTTCGTCAGTCTGTATCATTTTCATGGCAGGGGGCTGTATAATTTATGCATTAGTCTGAATGAACACAACATAATTACCTTATGTAGAACGACGAATACTCTTTAACGAACTGGGAACTTCCTTCGTGGAAGCTGAAACTGTCTCCCAGTTTGTGAGACGCTTACACCATGCCTACTGTTATGATTACACCGGCGGTGCAGATACTGAATGATACTTCTGAACAACATACCGACAGTAGTTTCAGACATTAAAACATTTTTTCTATATGAGGACACTGATTTTATGAATATCAGTTTACTGACATTTGACGCATAAAAGTGTTCTTACCTCGATAGTACATTGGAGTGAGTTTAGTTTTACGCCGCAGTCAGCAATATTCCAGCTAATATGGTGGCGGTGTGTAAATAATCGAGTCTGGACCAGGCAATCCAGTGATCGACAGCATGAGCATCTATCTATATCGACAATTCCTCGTTTTAATGCGACACAGCGTGTTAGGTAATGAACATGTAAAGCTCTAAAATGATGACATTCTCTACTTACATAAATGTGGTTGTCCGATTCTATGATTTTTCACTAAAATGATGACATTCTCTACTTACATAAATGTGGTTGTCCGATTCTATGATTTTTCACTAAAATGATGACATTCTCTACTTACATAAATGTGGTTGTCCGATTCTATGATTTTTCACTAAATGACATTCTCTACTTACATAAATGACATTCTTTACTTACATAAATGTGGTTGTCCGATTCTATGATTTTTCACTAAAATGATGACATTCTCTACTTACATAAATGTGGTTGTCCGATTCTATGATTTTTCACTAAAATGATGACATTCTCTACTTACATAAATGTGGTTGTCCGATTCTATGATTTTTCACTAAAATGATGACATTCTCTACTTACATAAATGTGGTTGTCCGATTCTATGATTTTTCACTAAAATGATGACATTCTCTACTTACATAAATGTGGTTGTCCGATTCTATGATTTTTCACTAAAATGATGACATTCTCTACTTACATAAATGTGGTTGTCCGATTCTATGATTTTTCACTAAAATGATGACATTCTCTACTTACATAAATGTGGTTGTCCGATTCTATGATTTTTCACCGGATTCACAAATTTCCAGTTTAATGGATCAGTGGTTGAAACCATGAGCATCGACCCATGCAGTCACGACACCATAACCGCCATCAGCTGCTCAACAATGAACAATGGTCTTCTGCGTCTTCTCCGGGATTCGAAAATAGGCATTCTGTCAGTCATTTTATTCTGGAATTGTGTAGCTCTGAACACATCCTTTGCCAGTGCTCACAATCTTCTCAGTTTGTTTACCGCAACACTCAGCAATATTCCAGCTAGCTATATGATGTAAAGTAAGCGATCTGTAAATTATCGGGTCTGTTGGACTCTGTATCAGGTAGACAGTGATTGACATCACGAGCATCGATCTACTTGATGCGATGACATGTGTCAACCAAGTCAGCGAGCCTGACCACCCGATCCCGTTAGTCGCTTCTTAATTACGACAATCATGGGTTGCTAAGACCAGATCTAACCCGGATGTTCATTGATGCCGCTTGTGTGAGAAGTTGGTTATCCAGTTCCAGGTAGTATTAAATAAAACATGACTGATGATCAAGGTTAGAACTGCCCTTCAGCCATGTGGGGAATCGAACCCGGATCTTCAGCGTTACGAGCCAACGCTTTAACCACTAGGCTACCCCACCGCCCCCTGTATCCGTAGAGCTTACCCATCGATATTTACACTAGTTATATCATGTTATGTAATGGTCAATTCATGACATTGATTATGCTTCACGATTAGATATGTCTTTCAAATAATTTAAATTGAAACCATTACTGAAATATAGTGTACCGCTTTAGTTTATTTCATGGGAGAATTTTTCCATCAACACCGGCTGGACGATTTGAACAATGTGTCAAACCTGTTGAGACAAGGCTTAATCTGACGTCGATAGTACTCAACACGCACATTAAGAAGTCAAGACTCCAGTTAGCCTCTGCATATACGTTTCTCCATGCAGGTATGTACACCTGTTCAAAGTCTGATGACATGTATGTACACTGCCTGTACTAACTTAACTAACGCTCAAGTTTTTCAAATCCTCACGTGTGACTAAGCACGCAATGTCGCATAACATATATTGATTACTGCCTCGTTATTACGCGTCAATATAGAGATTATTGTAAGGCTCCATTTCGTAATTAGGCTAACGTGCATGAATCTAAAATCTGGGCTAATAGGCTAATATAGATGACACTCATGCAGATGTTTAGTTACCAACAGCCAAGTTAAGCAGAGAACATTTTAGAGAAATTCAAGCTCATATCTATTTTACCAACCCACCCAATCTTGAATTAAACGAGATATCGAACCATCCCGTGAACAGACTGACACCGTTAGCAGCTGTGCATGTGTAGTGTATTCCTGGGTAATCAGTGAGTTATATTGCGTGAGGTGTTGGTGTCAGTGTGTTTAGTTCATGTTGTCAACCGCAGATTTGTTTGGTCCACATTTGTTTAGTTAATATTGTCATGGATCCAATGATTTGTTAAATCAATATTTGTTTAGTTCATTCTGTCACCTGCTGATTTGTCTAGGTCATATTTGTTTAGTTCATATTGTCAACCGCTGAGTAGTTACGGCCATATTCGTTTAGTTCATGTTGTCAACCACTGATTAGCTTCGGCCATATTCGTTTAGATCATGTTGTCAACCACTGATTAGCTTCGGCCATATTCGTTTAGTTCATGTTGTCAACCACTGATTAGCTTCGGCCATATTCGTTTAGATCATGTTGTCAACCGCTGAGTAGTTACGGCCATATTCGTTTAGTTCATGTTGTCAACCACTGATTAGCTTCGGCCATATTCGTTAAGTTCATGTTGTCAACCACTGATTAGCTTCGGCCATATTCGTTTGGTTCATGTTGTCAACCACTGATTAAATTCGGCCATATTCGTTTAGTTCATGTTGTCAACCACTGATTAGCTTCGGCCATATTCGTTTAGTTCATGTTGTCAACCACTAGCTTCGGCCATATTCGTTTAGTTCATGTTGTCAACCACTGATTAGCTTCGGCCATATTCGTTTAGTTCATGTTGTCAACCACTGATTAGCTTCGGCCATATTCGTTTAGTTCATGTTGTCAACAACCACTGATTAGCTTCGGCCATATTCGTTTAGTTCATGTTGTCAACCACTGATTTGTTTGGGTCATATTCGTTTAGTTCATGTTGTCAACCACTGATTTGTTTGGGCCATATTCGTTTAGTTCATTTTGTCAACCACTGATTCTTTGGGCCATATTTGTTTAGTTCAGCTTCGGCCATATTCGTTTAGTTCATGTTGTCAACCACTGATTTGTTTGGACCATATTCGTTTAGTTCATATTGTCAGTCACTGCATGATTTGTTTGGACCATATTAATATAGTTCATGTTGGCAACCGCTGATTCGTTTTGGGCCATACACGTTTGGTTCATGCTGGCAACCACTGATTTGTTTGGGCCATATTCGTTTAGTTCATACTGTCAACCACTGATGTATTTGGGCCATATTCGTTTAGTTCATGTTGGCAACCACTGATTTGATTTGGGCCATACTCGTTTAGTTCATGTTGTCAGCCACTGATTTGTTTGGGCCATATTTGTTTTATTTTCAATACGTGATGTAGTCAACCACAGTTCGTGTTTGTATTCGCCTGAGATGCTACGTTTTACTGCACCCCTCACTCACTCCGACAATACCGACTCTCGTGATAAAACAAGAATATTGCTGAGGTCGTAATTAACATTCACCACTCACTCGGAACAGTAACTATGAGTAACATAGCAGGAAGTGACATAAGGTTCAAGGTGAGGGTCATATAACTCACACACCACACCATCCTGCCCAATGTCACCCTGACATGTCACCACTGTAGTGTATTATGATAACGTTGCTCACGTTTCCGCCACTTGAGGAAGGTGAGGTGAGGTGAAATTGGGTTTTACGTCGTGCTTGAGAATATTTCGCTCATATGACGACGTGCATGCGTGTGTATGTGTATGTGCGGCTGCTTGTACTAGCCGAGACTGAAGCTGGTTTTATAGTGCTAGCCCACTGAGATACCATGCCGCAGTGAAGCATGAATACCCCACTCAGACACATTATACTGATTCCGAGCCGACAAGTCCTTGTTGTACCCATTAATGCCGAGCGCCAGGCGGGGACCAACAAGTACCATATTTTAACGTCTTTTGGTATGACGCGGTCGGGGATCGAACCCGCAACCTTCCGCTCTCCGAGCGGATGCTCTAACCACTACACCACGGAGGCGGTCACTTGAGGAAGGTGTATAAATCAACGTGCAATAGTACTCATATGTTCCTGGTACGTCGATAACACACATGCAAGGGTTCTGGGAAATATTTGTTCATATCCAGAGGGGCCTGAGTATACCTGAAGCGATTTCACAGCAGGTTCCATGTGATCAGTGTCCATTCAGAATAGGGGATGTTCTATTCACATCTGGGGCGGTGAGGTATCCTTGTGCTTTTAACGTTCACTCGTATCGCAGAAGACCCGGGTTCGATTCCCCATATATGTGCACTGTGTCCCCCGTCGTGATATTGCTGGAATATTGCTAAAAGCGGCGTAAAACCAAACTCAGTGAACGCCACCAAAAGATTAAAATTTTAGAGGGAAATCTGTAGACAAAAGGTTAAAATGTTGTCCATTTTGGTTCCAGGTGAAGCAATATGGCGTCAATATCGACACCAGGAAAAATACCGGTACCTCATGAAGACATCACTTGTAGGCTGTGCCAACAGCCGTTATCCTCCCCAAACTTTTGACGTGTCTCCATTCATTCTGTCAGCTATGTATTGAAGAACGGCTTACTACCGAGGGCGGTGGGCATGTCTTCCAATGCCCTCTGTGTAGGCATAAAACTCGGCTACCAACGAAATCAGCGAGCTCTCTAACAACCAACTTCTACATACTGGGACGTCAGAGGGTGTATGCTTGTCGCACACCACAGGCCTCTAATTGTGTGGTTTGTTCAATGAAAGGCGACTTTTGTGAAACCACTCGCCATTGCCTGGATTGTGGCGACAAACTTTGTGAAACATGCTCAATGAGACATAACTCTTCAACTCTGACAGCGACACATCGAGTGGTCTCCCTTGATGAGATCAAAGATGGCCTGTTTGACAGACATATTCAACAGGAGGAAGAACCGGTTTGCGAAAAACATTGCGAATGTTTGGTCATTTTCTGTAAAACGTGTTCAGAGGCATTATGTGTTCAGTGTGTTGTTGCTGAACACATGGAACACCAGTTCGAGATGGTGGATGAAACCGTAGCAAAAGTACGCCAGTCACTGAAACAGACACTGTCAAAAGTGACTTCCAACTTTCAGGATTCTCTCAAATCACTGCAAGCAGAGATGGATGAGTTAAACAAAGAGGAAGAAATATTTGTGAGTGAACTGACTTCATCAGTTGCTGCTGTGATGGAGAAGATCTCAGAGAAGAGTTCTGAGGTGTTGGAGAAGGGCAGGAGAAGTTTTGAGGGCGAGAGGAGGAGGAGGCAAAGGATGCTGGAGCTGGTGAACTCTGAGTCTGAAAGAAGGGAGGAGGTTGTCCGAGTATGTCAGCAGGTGGAAGAAAGTGATGTGATAACGTTTCTTTGATGTCTAAAACTATCAATGAAAGGTTGAAAGAGATGACAAAATTAAAACAATTCGCTGAGGCAGTTGACACTGTGTCTGTTAAGGAACCTATAACAAAGTTCAAAATCGACGTAGCCATTCCACTTGATAAATTCCTGACCTTGCGTGAAGTACCCGTGACAAGAGATCAGTTATCATTACCCAGTGATGTTAACCTTTCTCGCACTTTGAACCCTGACTCAGACAAAGACAGGGAGGACCTGCCAGACTTCAACAGATTGAAATCCCTTTCACCCACAGTAGGTTCTGAGAAGGTTAATACAAGGACCCCTTCACACGGGGCTACTACAGAGTCATCAGAAGACCAGCGACAAAAACATGACAGACCTGTCACGAAAGGCCACCATGATTATGCCCATGAAGGACCTTCAGCTCGGAAACAAGAGCTAGTGGAAGAAACATCCAGGGGTGAAGAATCTGAAATCGGCGGAGTTGAGGGGCTTGATAATGGGAAACAGTACATGCAATATAAACGTCAGTTTAGCGTACAGATTGGAACAGACGGCGCCCAGACAAGGTTGTCCTGCATGGCTCAACGTTCAAACGGTACCCTAATAGTTTTAGACGAACAGAAATACAAAACTGAAAATCTTTGAAACCAATGGTCAGTTTGTATATTCAGTTTTACAAAAAGGAAAATGTCAGTTGTTTAAACAGTTTGTGCACGTTGGCGATGGCGACAAGATTTTTGCCATTTATGAAAACAACTTGCTAATCCTAACTCGACATTTAAAGATTTTGTCAAAACATCCTCTTCTGCAAAAGCAAGACATGATTTGTGAACCTATCGTGGCCAACTTTGGAGAGAACATTGTCATCGGAAATCTTCCAAACAGAGAGATGAAAGTGATGGCAACATCAGGAAAGATGATCAGAAAGTGGACAAGTCAAGTCACTGGCGAGATGACGTCACTGAAGCACGTGGGTGACGACGCTGTCATCTCCTGCACGTCGCAAGGAAAGGGTGCCGTGTGTATGGAGTCTGAAGGAAATGGTTGCCTTCTTAAAATCAGTGGTAGAAAACGGAATGGAATGAAGTGGCGGCCCTCAGACGCAGTCTTCAGCACAAAGGGTCGCACGATTGTGTCTGATATGCACAGGAATGACATCCTGATTTTCTCTCCAAGTGGTGAGGCTTTGTGCGTTGTTGACACGTTACGGAACCATGTTTCGGAACCCAACTGTTTGGTGATAGGGGATTACGTTGACTTGTATGTCTCATGCAAAGATGGAGTGATAGCTGTGTATAAATTACAGTAAAACTACGGCATCTTTGAAGGTGCAAGATTTGGTCGCCATTTATTGCATTACATGAATGGTATTGTTATGATGCATTTGACAAAACAAATATGGCTGCAACAACTTTTATGAATAGTCGGACTCAATTGTTTACAGAGCGCTAGCTGGACATTTGAAGCATGCTGCTTTGAACAACAGAACCCAGCGAAAACTCTCCTTCCCCCCCCCCCCCCTTCCCTCCCCCCTCTCCGTAACAAAAAATCGAAGACGATTGTAGCTTTTCTCCGATTTAACACTTATCTTAATATAATATGTTGTCAAGCGGTTGTTTTTTTGTTGTTGTTGTTTTTTTTGGGGGGGGGTCTTTAGGCTTAACCTGGGCAATTGGTTGATTTACACCTCTGACATACATGTATATTATCGAAGCCGAGGAGAGACACATGAGTATATGTGATTATACTTGAATAGGGTTTTCATTCGAGCATACATTTGCATATCAGTACAAAATGAGTGTCACAATATCCATATGACCATACACTGTGTTTGTATAACATCAATGCGACACAAGCATATTGAAGGAGGAAGTATCTCCAAAGCATCTCGGTTACGTGCATATTGCTGAACACCTTTTCACCTGTAGCATGCTTAAGAGATAAAACGTTTGCGACATATCTCCGGGTCGACATTACGACATTGAAAACCGTACGTCCTTGAATTAACACAGCCTTGAAAACCAACGACGGTCATCAGTCAACACACCGAGCGATATGTATAATATACTCAGCAGCAAAGAAAAACGTCAGTGCGAATTAGATAGGCACTGTAATCAAATCATTACACAAATGGACATAATAAGCGGATAAAAAACACTTTTTGTGTACAATTTCTTGAGGCATCAAGTATCTGTACCTAGTGTGACCACCACGAACGGCAATAAATCGGCTGTGTTCGGCCTTGGTATGACATTATTCAGTCTCCTCTGAATTTCATCCCAAAGTCGTTTCGTTGGGTTTAAATCAGGACTAAGGGCTGGGCACTGCATAATGTTGACACCGTTCTGCTGTAGGAAGTCCGGTGTAGCTCTGGCAGTATGGGCCCGGGCGTTATCATGCTGGAAAATGTTGTTCCGGTTACGTGCGAAATGTGGTATGACGTGGGGTCTGAGAGCTTGGTCGATGTAGCGCACTGCTGTGATGCCGCCTCCTCTCCCTGGACCACAGGACCCACTCTCTGGTTCAGGCCTATTCCTCCCCATACCATGATGCTTGCACCTCCCCATGGGTCTCTTTCCATAACACATTGGTCTGAGTAACGATGGCCACGTCGTCGCCATATTCTTGTTCTGCTCTCTGCAGTTGATACGCAGCACCGACTCTCATCTGTGAACAGAACAGTTCTCCAATGCCTGTGTCACCAGTTTTGGTGTTGTAGGGCAAACTGTAGACGTTCACGCCGATGACGAAGGGTGAGGATAGGTCCAGGGTAAGGTCTACGGCAATGGAGGTTCCCGCTATTAAGACGTCGTCGTACTGTATCAGTACTGATTGGTCTTCCGTGTGTTCCCACTGTCTAGCGTGCTGTTTCGGATGCCTGCATGACACGCTAGACAGTGGGAACACCATACCATCTCCGAGATCAGGTTGCGTTTTTGAGACCATTTCCTGGGTTCCATTCTGAGTTTGGGAAGGAATGTCTTTGCTCAGATAAAGTTGGAGATGTTGCCATAAATATACAATCAAAACATTAAATGAGTTTACAGTTATCCGTTTCTGCGTAGGAAAATTTCAAACGGACATTTCTTTTGCTGCTTAGTATAGTTAAAATGGAATCATTTTCAACCAAATTTATCAGTTCTCTGAGAATTTGACACAAACTGCTAACAAACAGACACCAGCGCCTCTATACAAATAACCACATGTATTATGTTAAATACGGTATTTGTGCAACTTAACTATCAAATGTGAAGGTCACTGACTGCACAACACTTTGCGCATAATAAACAAATATGTAATAAAATAATTTACTGGTTCAGTGGATTCTGTTGGTGTTTGTGTATTTTTTCAGTTCAGAGAGACTTCAGCCAAAACATATTACATTACTTGGCTTCAAATGTAGGCCACGCCTTTGAGGCTAACGTTTGAAAATTTAGGATTTCTTTCAAAGCAGACATTTATATTTTCGGTGCGTTTGTTCAGCCAGCATAGGTTGTTTTGAAGGTTTTATGGAAGTGTTAGTCTTGATATTTTGACGAAACACATTGCACGGGTTCTGTTATAATATGAAAATTAGGAGTTTTATTTTATTTCCCGTCAAATTGGTTTGACGATTTTTTTACAAACCTTTGAAAAAATGTATTTTTTAAACAAGGTTACTGTTCGTATATATCGTTTAGTTTTAGTTAGTGATAAAAGTAAGATTTTAACATGGTCCAACGTATAGTTCTCCAGCCAGGGTAATGGGGATGACAAGCCCAGGCTGGGACTGAAGTGGATTAGATCAAATTGATATTTTAGATCATTATGAATAATTGTACAGCATTATTTCCACATAACACATGCTCCTCCCATTATTCAGTAAACGGTACGTATTTAGTTTTGTATCTGGTGTTACAAAGTTCTGGATATTCATTTTCATCCTTCCTGGTACACATTCATTGCTGGATTTAATAGCATGTGTGAGAAGGCATCGTTGTTTGACCTTGATTTTGACAAAGGATTAAAAAAATGTATAATACATACACGATATTGGCCTCATGAACACGTTAATGATAGTTTATGTCATTTTGGCACTTATGTAAACCGATTAACTGAATCTATCACATTATGTTATATTTCATATTGTCTATCCATATGACAGAACAAATTCCACAATACATCACGATACAACAATTACTCTTCATATCGGGCATACATAAACATGTCACACAGACGCACAATTCAACCAGGTCAGCCAAGCAGACACCTTACTTCAGAGACTCTTCCAAACCCGTCACAGGTCTTCTCGTTTAATGGTTTACCATATTAAACGCCTCACCATATATGGATAAACTTGATAATACCGATGCAAATGAGGACGCTTAATCTGATGTGACAGCTACTGGTTTAAAAATACAACAGGACAAAAAGTTCAAAACCCGTTCAGAAAGAAGTTTCATCCTGTACGGGTGCCTATTTCATATAAACAAACATGGATGCAAAAGGTGTATGTATAAATTGAGTGCATCAGTCCAGCATTTTACACCTATGATTCCAGTATGAATGATATGTTTGTATGATAAAGAGATTAGAACATCCGTATGTATGTGTTTCTCATCTCCAAACCTGAACCAGAAAGAGAGCGGTCGGTCGAAAAGAGCAAAGAGAAACACGTTTTTCAAGAATTGTGCACATTACTTTATGAAATTAAGTTTTTTATTAAATTCATTATGTATATCGTTTCGCTTTGCTTCGGAAATATTGCTGTTGTTTTCAGAAAGATCAAGCTGACATGGTTATTGCCCCCCGCAGCAACGCGAAACGCGGGGACCTATGACTTCAGCAGCGTCCGTACGTACAGACTCGTGCCAGTTATATTGGGCCGCTTGACGTAATTTCTATAGACTTACATGTTAATTTAATGTAGCATAAATAATATTAATGAATTTAATATTCGTAAGATCCAAATCAAATTTTGCACATTTATGAGGAATCATGTTACCTACAATCAAATAATTTCTGTTTAATTTTCCGTTGCATATTTATCGAATGGCAACCATTTAATCAACATATGCACAGTGCCGTGAACTCCTTTAACATGGCGGCCTATAGGATTGTGCATTGTGGAACCATACGTAAGTTGATGAATGTGATGTCATTAGTTAAATAGTGGTCTGAAAATTGAACTTAAATTATGTGCACAGAGGAGAGATGATTTCACATTTGCCTGTCAAATTTTACAAAGGCCCATTCTAAACTCACTCCATGAAAATTATTTATTACACTGAAATAACATGTAAGTCTATGGAAATTACTTAAAGTGGCCCAATATAACTGGCACGAGTCTGTACGTCCCGATTCTTGTTAACGCAATATCTCACAAAACGTTGCAGCCAATGTCTTCAAATTTGGTGACAGCCTACACCAGTCATTAAAAGGCTGTTTTGTCTTTCAAGATTTAGACATAATTTACAGTCACCTGTTTTCAATATAATACATGGTTAAGATATTGAAAAACTCTAGCTGAAGAATATATTGCCATTTCTTACAAATTTGATGTCAGGAATAAACATAACGGGTATCCGGGTAGGGTAATAGGTGGCGGGGTACCCGGGTAGAAAATCTGGACCCGTCCCAGACCTAATACACACTGATACTGACATCGGATATGTGCATCTGCACCTATACATTCAAATCTACTATATTCCTGAAATATCTTGAGAGTTGGGGAAGATTATGAGACGTGACCATGATTAAAAACTACATGACACAAAAGGTAATCTTCTATGTGACCAAAAGATAACAGCCAGTAAATATGATATATTTCATTCTTCTTAGCGGCGGGGGCATTGCCATGTTAGGGTACAAGGGTAAGAGTATTATGTTTCATACATCCGGCCAAACATGTCCACATAGGTAGGGAGAACTGATTTAAGAAAACTTATTAAACTCTGTCAAAAAAGAAACGCAACCCCTGTCCTCAGATATGAAAAATTCGTTTGAATGAAGTTATTGCTTCCAAACTAAATGTTATTCGAATGTATTGAAATTATACACGTAATTAATGAAGATTACCATCCAAACAACTGCATTTGTACGCATAAGTGTATTTTATTGCTTATTCCGTCACAACGCATGAAATGACCCTCATGGTGACTTCGCACAAAAAAACCACATGCAAATCATGAAAATGGCAGTTAATGTAGGGGTGTATAAAAGCCCATGTGCTTTCGTATTATATTCATTCATTTGTCGCATGAAAAGCTGTGTGAAAAATGCCACGATTGAGTGCTGCCGACCGAAATATCGCCATTGGTCGTGTTCAAGCCGGAGAAAGTTTTGGAACTGTTGCACGGCACCTAAATGTTCACAAAACAACGATATCCCGACTTTGGAGCCGCTACAACAACTTCAATTTGACCAACGATCGCCCGAGAAGTGGAAGGCCAAGAATCACGACCCCCCTTCAAGATCGGTACATCCGGGTCCATCACCTGCGTAATCGGCATGCCCTACCAACCGTGACTGCCACACAAATACCAGGGTTTGAGGAGAGTGTCAGCTCAAACGATTAGGAACCGTCTGAAAGAAGCGGGTTTACGTGCCTGTAGACCAGTTGTTGGACCTGTACTACGCCCCCTACATCTCCGCCGACGACTCAGGTGGTGCAACAACGTAAGGATATGGACTTTACAAAACTGGAGGCGCATCTGGTTTTCTGATGAATCCCGTTTTCTTTTGCAACATCACGACGGAAGAAAACGTGTGTATAGGAGACGTCATGAACGTTTTGCGCCCATCTGCGTCCGACAGGGGGACAGATTTGGCGGCGGAGAAAGCGTTATGGTTTGGGGATCCATCTCATACAACCAGAAATCAGACTTGGTGATCGTTGAAGGGAACCTGACAGCCCAACGTTACATCAACCACGTATTACAGCCTCACCTTCTCCCGATTATTGACCAACAGACACAGATTTTTCAACCAGACAACGCCCGGCCTCATACTGCACGTGTAACAATGAACTTTCTGCAGAATTCCAACGTCAATGTCTTGCCATAGCCCTCTAAATCACCAGACCTCAACCCTATTGAACACCTGTGGGATACTCTGGGTCGACGCGTACGTCAACGTCAGCCGCCGCCACAGACGCTGCAACAGCTCGGCGTTGCACTGCAGGAGGAGGAGAGCCATTCCCAGGGAAAGAATCCGGCGTCTTATCCGTTCTTGTCCAAGGAGATGCCGTGCAGTGATTGCAGCTCGTGGTGCTCATACGAGATACTGAGAAAAGACGCCCCCTGGTGACAAACTGGTGTCTGTGAGATGACTTTTGAAATGACAATTTTAAACATGCCCATCTTGGTTATTATTCTGCCAAATTTCGACAGAGTTTATTTATTTCACGAATGAGTACTGGCGGGAGATGAGAAACACTGAATTCATGTTTTATTTCTCGTGTGCTGTTGTATCGTAAATATCCGGGTGGGTGACACACACACACACCACGGTATAAAGTAATGTCAGTCCTGTTATAGATAGCAGTTGTATCGAATGATACCCATGTGATATGGGTGTGTGACTGCATCCATATGCAGGCAGTAATTAAATATCCGGTTTAACCAGTATTGTGTACTTACTTGCAATTCATATGCGAATTTTCACATACGATATTATCCCAAGCAGTAAATAAGATACACATCTGTCGTCATGCGGGCGAGTTTACCCATATACAAGGTATTGACTTTCAGTCGTTTAAAGGCACTATATCATACCACACTTCTCTAAAAGTAGATAATGCATTTCTCTCAATAATATCAGCCCTCAGGGAAACCACCATATTATTTATTCCCAAAATAGATTACAATATTAAATTAACAAGTTCGAATGAAATTAATGCAACGTTGCATTAAATCGACTCTCAGGCTCTACCGGACGAACATTATTTCAAAAGAACCCCATAGAGTTATGTCCCCTGGAGCACTCTTTACGAATATCCCACGCACAAAACTTGAAAACAGTTCGACAGTTTTCGATGTACGGAGCAATTGTTTACATTCCATATATAGCAAGTGTTCTCTGTTTGGAAGCTGTTCGCCTCGAAGTTTCAATTGTCGATTTCAGGCAAGTCGTAAAGGATAATAAGTCTTTTATTGCATCAATCGGAAGCTATTTAAGTGAGTGTAAATGCTCCAATATATATAATATAGGCCAAAATATTGTCGAAATTGTATGACATTGTGTCTTTAAACTTGTCTCAGTTGTCTTCATGTCCGCCATGTGAACTGCCTCTGTCGTTATAATTACTACTTCGTTTGTATATTTTGGGTAAGACAACAATCTCTGATAGAATAAAGGGAAAATGTGCTGAGCGTTACCCCGAATATTTTGATCGCTGGACATGTTTGATGTCCAGAAGCAATATGAAGGTAACAGTGTTGGTTGTTCCTATTGCAGAAAGAAATGCCCATTTCTATCAAAAGAATGTATTGTCTCCAGCAATAATCCCCTAGTTCGAGTATCCAGTTCCATTTTGGCCGAACTAAAGAATCTCTCCTCTCAGACCATAATGAATCACATCATGTACTCCTATACGTCAACATCTTCGATGGATTTGGTTTGGTTTACACTGAGTAGCGTCAGCGCAGTATGGCTAGGGAACCAGACCAGTGTTTAACTCTCATCTCATTACTCAGCCTCTGTCACGATATTGACTTGGTCAAAGTGCCCCCGTCCTGAAATTCCTGTCCGAACCATGACAGTTCTGCCTCTGAACCTACCCGCCTGCATAACATATGCGTCATGGTAACGTTCGCCGACCAGACGATGGTCGACACGACCATCACTGACGCCTGAGATTAACCCATGACTTGTTGCTGAACATGACATTACGTCACATGACCGTGGACCAACGAAGATCCGAACCAGTTCACAAAATGGAAGTCGGACAACTGGTAGTCTAGACTGTGGAAGTCGCGGTAGCTGAGTGGGTTAGGCGGCTGACTTTGTGTGCTGGCGATTGGGTGCCTGACTCTGAGGGTGTGAGTTCGAATCCCGGATGGGGCTCAACTAAAAAAGTACTAGAATTTGTACTTTACTAAGAAAGTGTAATCCCAAATATAACATATGTTAAACTCAGGGACATTTGGAGGTCTGTAGGTTCGTGCAAGAGTTCCGTTCTGTTTAGCATAGCATAGACAGGATATTAATATAGCGCACATATCCACGCAACTAGTTCATACTCAAGGCGCTGTCAATCTCAACGGCAAATTTATACTTAACCAGGAAGACGTTGGAGTTGTCCTCATTACTGAGAGATAGTAGAGATAGTGTAGGACTATTGGCCACAGCTTGCTGGGCTGTCCTCATTTGGCCACCTGTGTGGCAATGTGTTGCCTGGGTGATTTAATAATAAGAACTGTATGGAGGTATTCCTTCTAACAATTTGAGCATCACTGAGACAGCTCAGAACCCTATATGTGATATAGATCAGTGATCCACCAATGTTCCTTACACAGTCACCTTAACGGGCAAATACATGGACGAGGCAGATCGTAAGCGGTGTATTTTCATTTAATCATCTCCTTTCATTTTTCTATTGACATTTACTGCAATATATATTTTGTAATTAAACATTATTACCAGTTAAATTCTCTTGTGTGTTAGTGGTAACTCTTAATGTACAAAATATTCATATTCTCTGAGCTAACTGACATGATAAAATCCCTTTCATCTTTAACAGATGCAGCAGTTGCGTTGGCTTCCTTTGGGGTTACTTTCTGGAGTCTTGCTGCTTTGTGGTTCAGCTGGAATCAGTTCTAGAGTCCTCCGGTTCTCTTGTCCAGCTGGAACTAGTTCTCGAGTCTTTCGGTCCTCTGACCCAGCTGGAACCAGTTCTAGAGTCCTCCGGTTCTCTTGTCCAGCTGGAACTAGTTCTCGAGTCTTTCGGTCCTCTGACCCAGCTGGAACCAGTTCTCGAGTCTTTCGGTCCTCTGACCCAGCTGGAACCAGTTTCCGAGTCTTTCGGTCCTCTGACCCAGCTGGAACCAGTTCCTGAGTCTTTCGGTTCTTTGGTGCAGCTGGAATCAGTTCCAGATTCTCCCTAATCCTTGATATAGCTGAGATCATGTCTGGGGTGTTCCAGTTCTGTAATCCAGATGGGATCATTGCTGGAGTCTTCCAGTTCTGTACTCGTGATGGAATCATTTCTGGATGGCCAGTGTTCAGTGGTTCAGCTGGAGTCTCAATATTCTGCGGTTCTGCTAGGATCATGTTTGGAGCCTCAGTATTCCACGGTTCTGCTAGGATCATGTTATGAATCTCAGATTTCCGTGGTTCCGCTAGCATCATGTCTGGTGTCTCAGTATTCCGCGGTTCTGCTAGGATCGTATCTGGAGTCTCAGTATTCCGTGGTTCTGGTAGGATCATATCTTGAGTCCCTGTATTCTGTGGTTCTGGTAGGATCATGTCTTGAGTCCCAGTATTCTGTGGGTCTGGTAGGATCATGTTATGAGTCTCAGTATTCTGTGGTTCTGGTAGGATCATGTCTGGAGTCCCAGTATTCCACAGGTCTACTAGGACCATGTTTGCAGTCTCAGTATTCTGTGGGTCTGGTAGGATCATGTCTGGAGTCCCAGTATTCTGTGGGTCTGGTAGGATCATATCTTGAGTCTCAGTATTCTGTGGGTCTGGTAGGATCATGTCTGGAGTCCCTGTATTCCACAGTTCTGGTAGGACCATGTTTGCAGTCTCAGTATTCTGTGGGTCTGGTAGGATCATGTCTGGAGTCCCAGTATTCCACAGGTCTACTAGGACCATGTTTGCAGTCTCAGTATTCTGTGGGTCTGGTAGGATCATGTCTGGAGTCCCAGTATTCCACAGGTCTACTAGGACCATGTTTGCAGTCTCAGTATTCTGTGGGTCTGGTAGGATCATGTCTGGAGTCCCAGTATTCCACAGGTCTACTAGGACCATGTTTGCAGTCTCAGTATTCTGTGGGTCTGGTAGGATCATGTCTGGAGTCCCAGTATTCTGCAGTTCTGGTAGGATCATGTTTGGAGTCTCAGTATTCTGTGGGTCTGGTAGGATCATGTCTGGAGTCCCAGTATTCTGCAGTTCTGGTAGGATCATGTCTGGAGTCCCTGTATTCTGTGGGTCTGGTAGGATCATGTCTGGAGTCCCAGTATTCTGTGGGTCTGGTAGGATCATGTCTGGAGTCCCAGTATTCTGTGGGTCTGGTAGGATCATGTCTGGAGTCCCAGTATTCTGTGGGTCTGGTAGGATCATATCTTGAGTCCCTGTATTCTGTGGTTCTGGTAGGATCATATCTTGAGTCCCTGTATTCTGTGGTTCTGGTAGGATCATGTTATGAGTCTCAGTATTCTGTGGGTCTGGTAGGATCATGTCTTGGAGTCCCAGTATTCTGTGGGTCTGGTAGGATCATATCTTGAGTCCCAGTATTCTGTGGGTCTGGTAGGATTATGTCTGGAGTCCCAGTATTCTCAGGATTTCCAGGAGCCTTCAGTTTGTCATCAAACGTTCGAAGAAATGCACCAAGTTTACAGCTATCTAACCCTTTAAGTCCAGACTTAGAAGTATATCCTGCCACAGGTCCAGATGGGTACGGTGAATCTGAAGCATATCCTTTCAAGCCTCTGGAGGTCATCTGTTCGGTCATTAGGGCATCAGAGGTAACACCTTGCTTAATGGCACTTGGTACACTTGTTTCCACTTTAGTTGAATCCATGTGCCCCGAGCTCATTTCACTGAATGAAATATCAGGTCCCTCAAATGGATATCGAGAAGAAGCACACCTTACTAAAAGGGCCTTTCCAGCCTGACCTACAATCATCAAAGAAGCAGTCACCTTAAAACAACTGGAGTCTCCCTGCCGACAGATATTACTGCCATCTCTCATACTGCCTGGCGATGAACCATCCACAGCAGAGGGCTCAGGGAAGAGGTTCTCATTGCTACGTAAAACATCTGTGACGACATATCCACTTATACTCGATTCAAACTTAAATCTTGGAGCAACAACTGCAAATGGGATCCCACTTATTATTTCTCCAGGAAGACATTTGATCTCAGTGTCGGACAAGTGAGGATTAGCTTTCGCATTGACAGTTTCAGATGTGAAAGAATTTGAAGAAGAAATGTCTTTCATCCCTTCAGCTTGTTTCCTAGTTGCACCATCGTCAGCATTGGCAGCACTGACTACATTAGTACTTAATACAGGACTGGCTGATTTGTCATCCTTCTTACTATCTCCAGGACCTACATCTGCATTTTGAAAGGAATGGGTGATGCTGATTACAGAGCTTGGGGATATCACATCTAACAACGAACACAGGTGTTTTCAGTTTGGCAGCGAAGACATCAGTAGCATCTTGTAACTGCTTACTTTCATTAAAACATTGCTCAAGGTCATTGTGGAGAACCAGAATTGACACATCCTTCCCTGGTCCTAGGACTAGGTTTGTCAGAGACAACAGTTTGGGGGACAGACGTGATATTTGCTCTAAATCACTTTTCAAGGTACTTGTGAGTTTAAGCTGTCTGTCACATGCTTTTGAAAGCTTTCTTACAGCTGCTTGCTCCTGTTCTAGAATTAAATCCACAGCTTTTTTAGTCTTGTCCCTGATGCATTTAACTGTTGCTTCTCGTATTGACGAAACATCTCGATGCAGATTTCTAAACCTTTCCAGCATGGAAGTAGATTCAGTTATACATTTGCTAAGCTGTTGTGATCTCTCGTCCAACTTCCTTGAGCAGTTCTGCACAGCGTCATCTAAGGTAAGAACGTCATGTCCTCTATGTTGAAATAAAATGCACAATTCACAAATTGGAATGACACACGATTGACAGAAGTAGGCGTAAGTCCTTCCCCTATGATTAGTTTCACCACAAGGAAAGTTTTTCTTTGCCTCTACTATGTATTTCCCAGAGTTGACATCTTCAATGGCCACGACCCTGTGTGAGTACGTGGCGCTTGATGATTGGTGCCCTGTGTGACACTCGTCACACAGAACATCGGCACAGTCCAGACACTGGTGGGTCACCTTGTTGCGCTGGTTGTGGAGGCAACACACGTTACAGTACATAAGACCGGATTTGACTAACAGGTCTTCTAACGTGCGAGAGGCAGATTCAATACATGTACCTAATTGTGATCGGAGACTATCCGCACTGTCTGAGCATTGAGCATTTGTTTCACACACAGGGCAGAAGTTGTCTTCATCTTTGTGGAATGTTTGACTCATTGTAAGACACTGTTGGCAAACTGAGTGGTAACAGGCTAGTGTTACCGGGTCTGTTCTCTCCTCTTTGCAGTTGGTACAGTAAAACACTTTCTCTTTTGACTCAAGCGTCGCCATTATGGTCACCTTCACGCCCTGAAAAAGAGGAGAATTCATCACAACAGTATTTCCCAAATTTAACCATGCTAGAAAATAAACGTGTCGTCCGAGTCTCATATGATCCAATGTACGTATCATAGCATATTTAACCGTGTTTGCGTTTGTTTCAATGGTCTTCAGCAATCCATTCTTGTGGTTAGAGGCGACTAACGAGATCGGGTGGTCAGGCTCACTTGACACATGTCATCGTATCCCAATTGCGTAGATCGATGCTCATGATGTTGATCACTGGATTGTCTGATCCAGACTCTACTGTTTACATATCGCCGCCATATAGCTGGAATATTACTGAGTGCGGCGTAAAAACTAAACTCACTCACTTTCAGTAGTGAGCGGTGGCTTGAGTCCCGGGGAAGAAAAGATCTCGCGTTTGTTGTATGAACTCAGAGGTAGATCTGGAGTTTAAAGCTGAAAACTGCCCATTTCCTTACAGGACGCTGGGAAACACCTCGAATATTGTAAGGGGCGGTGGGGTAGTCTAGTGGTTAAAGCGTTGGCTCGTCACGCCGAAGACCCGGGTTCGAATCCCAACATGGGTACAATGAGTGAAGCCCATTTCTGGTGTCCCCCCGCCGTGATATTGCTGGAATATTGCTAAAAGCGGCGTAAAACCAAACTCAGTCAGTCAGTCAGTCGAATATTGTAAACTATCACTCATCCACTCACTCACTCTTAAGTCACTCACCTCAATATGGAAAAAGAGTACACTAATTGTATATATCGGATAATCGGGTGTACTCTGAAATATCGTCTCATGTTTAAACAGAGAACAGCATTGATATTGTGTAGCTCATTTAGCCGTTATATGCAGTGCAACCTTCACGTTATGAAAGCGTGACCCTTAACTGGCTGGGGTATTTTAAGGTGAGAGGAAAATATCTTAACGTAATATCCTTTAGAAATTAGAGTGTTAAACATCATTTCGCATTCGACATTTAACGACAGATAACATGTTGAACATTATCTCGTGCAATCTAAAGAGTTCATCTTAACTCTACTATTCTTTTGGAAAGCCTGCTATCAAGTAACCTTGTGTAATTAGCAGTTTGAAAACAATTCAACTTTCAACCTATTATTTAGCATGAATTTCATCATTATGTAACTAACTCACTTATACAGTACTCTCCCTAGTGTACTGTGATGTCACTTTGTGACGTCATAACAAAATGACGTCACACGACGTCATAGTCCTAACTGCCAGTTCACATGAAGGGACGGTGGTCTCGAAACGTTGTGAGAGAAATCTTCCATAAAAATATGGTCAATGTACAACTTCTAAATGCCACTGAAAGACATCGATTAACATTTTGAACATTATCTTAATATCAAGAAGAAATCTGACTGAAGAGCGACATGTGCAACATAACGTACATCTTTGCCACCCAACGGCTTATCTTCTAAAGATTGTCTGGTCCAGACTCCAAGATTCATTTATCTTAGACCAAGAAGAAATCCTGCATGTGTGTTGCAAACGTACGTCACATTCTCTGGTCCAGACTCGATTATTTACAGAGCGCCGCCAAACGTACGTCCATTCTCTACTATTGAGAGTGTGAGAGACAGATGGCGGGTCATGACAATTTTATCAAACAGTTTGTTCATTTGAGCAAGTCCACCGCCACATAGCTCTGCTAATGTGAACTTCGTTTTCAGCGACGGTCACCCATTTCCCACTGACAAATAGCTGACCATTCGACCGTATATGATGATGTGCTCGCAACAAAAACTTGCCCAAACGTAGTATAAATGTCACTAGGTTAGATAAGTTTTGAACAAACTGTCTTCCGGGCAACGCTGCCATTAATGCACATTGTGTTATAGAAAGTGTCAGCCCTTTATCTACATGATTTATGGGACCCTTCAATTTGGGTGTGTCTCCCTGTTAAGTGGCCATGCCCCAGTTCATGTTTAGACTGGCTTGCTTGTCCTAGAGCGCTTGCGCTCCCGACTGCCTTGTGGGGAGGAATTTCTCCCAGCAGATTTATAATGTCATAATATTCTTCTACACACGACATGATTAGCCCAGGCCCCCATAATTGTCGGGGGAATTGTTGGCGGCACTGTCAAGATGGTGATGTGTTAGGATGTTGGCGGCACTGTCAAGATGGTGATGTGTTAGGATGTTGGCGGCACTGTCAAGATGGTGGTGTGTTAGGATGTTGGTACCCTCACTATGGTGCAACAAACCAGTTTCAAATACTCATCACGCGTATCCCGATGAACCGCTGTCATTGAACACCATGTTGAATAATAGCCTACCCTATAGGCAATATGTAGCGATATCTGTTCCGTACGGGACTGTGAAATGTGAACAAAAGTTCTAGCGCATGTTCCCGGGAAACTAGCCGGGCTGGAAACCAGCGAAGTAGCTCTGCCACTCACGAGATTTTCCGAGGATTTTCTGTGTTTAAGTTCATGGACCTAAAATCAGGATTGCAGCCCCATGGCCCAAAATAAAGATCTTGAATGTTATTGTGTATGATATCCCTTGGTAGAGGTACTTGCCAGTGGGTATTTACAACATCAATAGTGCAATCAGTATGCGTCAGCTGTACTTTGGAGCTCCCTTCCCTATGATCTGAGACGCTGTCCCTCACTTGACTTTTTAGAGCTTGTCTCAAGACCTCTCTCTTCACTTCTCACACGTGAAAATTGCGTAGATCGAGGCTTATGCTGTCTATCACTGGATTGCCTGGTCCAGACTCAATTATTTACAAACCGCCGCCATCTAGCTGGAATATTGCTGAGTTAAACAAAAAATTAAACAAACAAATCTTCCATAAAGTGGTTTTGGATTACGTTTTTGGTGGGAGTCATGAAATTAACCCATTCGTTAAGTGACATCACGGACGATCTATGATTACATAAGTCTTGACTATAGGTTAAGCAAATCGTATCAAATCCATTCAATATATGCGATTCCAAAATTTATGACCAGATCTTAATTATGGGTTTATAACTTGATTACCAAAGGGGTCATATTTCATTATTAGGCACTGGGCTTGAACACGGGAATTCCCGGGGCGTCCCTTTGTCGCTGTTTACATGTTACATGAAATATTTTCCGATTATATTGCTTGATGCCGGTGTGTGTGTGTGTGTGTGTGTGTGTGTGTGTGTGTGTGCGTGCGGGCATGCGTGCGTGCGTGCGTGTGGTGGTTTCCGTTACCAGCCTTATGTGAAGACGCCATCAGTGACATTTTATACTTTGATTCCAATTTTGTTTCCTTACCAGCCTTATGTTAAGACGCCATCAGTGACAGTATATACCTTGATGCCAGTTGTTTTTGCGTTACAAGCCTTATATGAAGACGCCATCAGTGATAGTATATACCTTGATTCCAGAGGGGTGGGGGTGGTGGGTTTGGGGGCGGGTGTTTTTGCGTTACAAGCCTTGTGTAAGCCGCCATCAGTGACAGTATATACCTCGATGCCAGTTTTTTTGTTGTCGTTACAAGCCTTATGTTAAGACGCCATCAGTGACAGTATATACCTTGATGCCAGGGGTTTTTTTGCGTTACAAGCCTTATGTTAAGACGCCATCAGTGGTAGTATATACCTTTATTCCAGGGTTTTTTTTGCGTTACCTGCCTTATGTTAAGACGCCATCAGTGACAGTATATACCTTGATGACAGGGTTTTTGCGTTACAAGCCTTATGTTAAGACGCCATCAGTGGTAGTATATACCTTTATTCCAGGGTGTTTTTTTGCGTTACCGGCCTAATGTGAAGACGCCTTCAGTGACAGTATATACCTTGATGCCAGGTGTTTTTGCGTTACAAAGCTTATGTGAAGACGCCATCAGTGACAGTATATACCTTGCTGCCAGGTGTTTTTGCGTTATACAAGCCTATGTTAAGACGCCATCAGTGACAGTATATACCTTGATGTCAGGTGTTTTTGCGTTACAAGCCTTATGTGAAGACGCCTTCAGTGACAGTATATACCTTGATGCCAGGTGTTTTGCGTTACAAGGCTTATGTGAAGACGCCATCAGTGACAGTATATACCTTGCTGCCAGTGATGTTTTTGCGTTATACAAGCCTATGTTAAGACGCCATCAGTGACAGTATATACCTTGATGCCAGGTGTTTTTGCGTTACAAGCCTTATGTTAAGACGCCATCAGTGACAGTATATACCTTGATGCCAGGTGTTTTTGCGTTACAAGCCTATGTTAAGACGCCATCAGTGACAGTATATACCTTGATGCCAGGTGTTTTTGCGTTACAAGCCTATGTGAAGACACCATCAGTGACAGTATATACCTTGATGCCAGGTGTTTTTGCGTTACAAGCCTTATGTTAAGACGCCATCAGTGACAGTATATACCTTGATGCCAGGTGTTTTTGCGTTACAAGCCTTATGTGAAGACGCCATCAGTGACAGTATATACCTTTGATGCCAGGTGTTTTGCGTTACAAGCCTTATGTGAAGACGCCTTCAGTGACAGTATATATACCTTGATGCCAGGTGTTTTGCGTTACAAGCCTTACGTGAAGACGCCTTCAGTGACAGTATATACCTTAATGCCAGGTATTTTTGCGTTACAAGGCTTATGTGAAGACGCCATCAGTGACAGTATATACCTTGCTGCCAGATGTTTTTGCGTTATACAAGCCTATGTTAAGACGCCATCAGTGACAGTATATACCTTGATGTCAGGTTTTTTTGTGTTACAAGCCTTATGTGAAGACGCCTTCAGTGACAGTATATACCTTGATGCCAGGTGTTTTTGCGTTACAAAGGCTTATGTGAAGACGCCATCAGTGACAGTATATACCTTGCTGCCTGATGTTTTTGCGTTATACAAGCCTATGTTAAGACGCCATCAGTGACAGTATATACCTTGATGCCAGGTGTTTTTGCGTTATACAAGCCTATGTTAAGACACCATCAGTGACAGTATATACCTTGATGCCAGGTGTTTTTGAGCTACAAGCCTTATGTTAAGACGCCATCAGTGACAGTATATACCTTGATGCCAGGTGTTTTTGCGTTACAAGCCTTATGTGAAGACACCATCAGTGACAGTATATACCTTGATGCCAGGTGTTTTTGCGTTACAAGCCTATGTGAAGACACCATCAGTGACAGTATATACCTTGATGCCAGGTGTTTTGAGCTCACAAGCCTTATGTTAAGACGCGCCATCAGTGACAGTATATATAACTTGATGCCAGGTGTTTTGCGTTACGTTCAGATGCCAGGTGTTTTGCGTTACAAGCCTTATGTGAAGACGCCATCAGTGACAGTATATACCTTGATGCCAGGTGTTTTTGCGTTACAAGCCTTATGTGAAGACGCCATTCAGTGACAGTATATACCTTAATGCCAGGTATTTATGCGTTACAAGGCTTATGTGAAGACGCCATCAGTGACAGTATATACCTTGCTGCCAGATGTTTTTGCGTTATACAAGCCTATGTTAAGACGCCATCAGTGACAGTATATACCTTGATGCCAGGTGTTTTTGCGTTACAAGCCTTATGTGAAGACACCATCAGTGACAGTATATACCTTGATGCCAGGTGTTTTTGCGTTACAAGCCTTATGTGAAGACGCCTTCAGTGACAGTATATACCTTGATGCCAGGTGTTTTTGCGTTACAAGCCTTACGTGAAGACGCCTTCAGTGACAGTATATACCTTAATGCCAGGTATTTTTGCGTTACAAGGCTTATGTGAAGACGCCATCAGTGACAGTATATACCTTGCTGCCAGATGTTTTTGCGTTATACAAGCCTATGTTAAGACGCCATCAGTGACAGTATATACCTTGATGTCAGGTTTTTTTGTGTTACAAGCCTTATGTGAAGACGCCTTCAGTGACAGTATATACCTTGATGCCAGGTGTTTTGCGTTACAAGGCTTATGTGAAGACGCCATCAGTGACAGTATATACCTTGCTGCCAGATGTTTTTGCGTTATACAAGCCTATGTTAAGACGCCATCAGTGACAGTATATACCTTGATGCCAGGTGTTTTTGCGTTACAAGCCTTATGTTAAGACGCCATCAGTGACAGTATATACCTTGATGCCAGGTGTTTTTGCGTTACAAGCCTATGTTAAGACGCCATCAGTGACAGTATATACCTTGATGCCAGGTGTTTTTGCGTTACAAGCCTTATGTGAAGACGCCATCAGTGACAGTATATACCTTGATGCCAGGTGTTTTTGCGTTACAAGCCTTATGTTAAAGACGCCATCAGTGACAGTATATACCTTGCTGCCAGGTGTTTTTGCGTTACAAGCCTATGTTAAGACGCCATCAGTGACAGTATATACCTTGATGCCAGGTGTTTTGCGTTACAAGCCTTATGTGAAGACGCCATCAGTGACAGTATATATACCTTGATGCCAGGTGTTTTGCGTTACAAGCCTATGTGAAGACGCCATCAGTGACAGTATATACCTTGATGCCAGGTGTTTTGCGTTACAAGCCTATGTGAAGACGCCATCAGTGACAGTATATACCTTGAATGCCAGGTGTTTTTGCGCTTACATTGCTTATGTGAAGACGCCATCAGTGACAGTATATACCTTGATGCCAGGTGTTTTGCGTTACAAGCCTTATGTTAAGACGCCATCAGTGACAGTATATACCTTGATGCCAGGTGTTTTTGCGTTACAAGCCTTATGTTAAGACGCCATCAGTGACAGTATATACCTTGATGCCAGGTGTTTTTGCGTTACAAGCCTTATGTGAAGACGCCATCAGTGACAGTATATACCTTGATGCCAGGTGTTTTTGCGTTACAAGCCTATGTTAAGACGCCATCAGTGACAGTATATACCTTGATGCCAGGTGTTTTTGCGTTACAAGCCTTATGTGAAGACGCCATCAGTGACAGTATATACCTTGATGCCAGGTGTTTTTGCGTTACAAGCCTTATGTTAAGACGCCATCAGTGACAGTATATACCTTGATGCCAGGTGTTTTTGCGTTACAAGCCTTATGTGAAGACGCCATCAGTGACAGTATATACCTTGATGCCAGGTGTTTTTGAGCTACAAGCCTTATGTGAAGACGCCATCAGTGACAGTATATACCTTGATACATTTCGCGTTACAAGCCCCGGTGGATGAGTTCCTGTCAACATAGCCCCACCCTGTGACTCTTAAAAGCACAAGCCTCACCGGGTGCCAGTCAACACTACGTTCTATGTTTTAACATCGCCTGGTGCTGTTTTGAGACAGCATTGTGTGACATCGTCAACCTATAATATGTAGCATTATCCTTGTTCATACGCAGAGACATCGTTACCATTAAGTAAGCACGATAAAGGGACGTAACATTGCAAAAACACCTTACCTCAGTTACAGCAGAAGATCCAATCACGTCGAGATATCGTACAGTATATGGTGATACAATGTCATTGTGACTCGGTATGCTCCACTTCCTTCCCTCGATATAACGCTCCACTGCCGCTAAGTTTTTGTTTCTCGACGATAAAGACAGACATTTGTATAGAACATACGTGCGTGACAACGAAGGCGATATGCGTTGCTCTGAACGGAACAAATATTCCAGTCATTTCAAATCTAAACCACCATTATCAGCGCTGCTAATACAATATAATTCGAGGAAAGACAGGTCTACTCTCTTTCCTGGAAGAAGTCGAAACAGAAAGCTGAGTGGAAATAAAAACGAATAAGCTAGAGAATAATCGGTCTCGTTTATCCACCGAAAAGGATTCCTCTGGGCGAAAAAGGCAACATTGCAGTGAAAATTAAATGAACATATCACTGAAATTCCGAAAACAACCAAAAACATAGAACCAAAAGGACTTGGACTCTGGTGGGTAATACTGAAAGCGGATTTGCTGAATGTTAAAACGAAATGTGCGAACTATTGAGCAAAGGTAAAGTATTTTCTACTGCGCGTAAAAGGAACCAGAAAACATTAAAAAGCAAAATAACTGATCGAATGTAGGCTATAAATGCTTTTGTTTTTCTTTCATGTGGTACAATAAAGATATCGTTGGGTTTTAAGCGTACAAGCGTGTCAATCAATATATAATGCAACAGGAAATACGTCCGTCGGCTATGATGACGATTATGTAGATCTAACACATGCGCTTGGCAATACTGATACTTCGACTTTCTATAAAGCTAAATTAGAAATGTTTCCCGATGATTTGGATTAAGTGTAGATTATATCTGTACTTATAAAAGGTGAAGGTCAGCAGTGTATAGTAAGTAGTACATATATAGAGATTTCCACGTTATCAATCGCCAGTTTCCAAGAAGGTTCGAGGGCGGTTAGCGGTTAAAACAGCACTGACACGGTACACGTTAGATGGCTAACTCGACTGTATTACTGTCTCTGAACCACATTATTTTCCCTTACGCCCAACACTTTCTGCCATGCAAAAGTCCTGAATGAAGCAAGTCCATGTGCAGGTTCTCCGAGGGTACTGGGATAATTTTTTATTTGAAGTTATTTGTATCAAAATTATTTAATTTTTTATTTATTTAAATTAAATATAACAACAGTCGTGTGCAAAGGTTGCCTTGAGTATATAAGGTTTGTTAAAGGATATAAGATTCAACACACAGTCAATACCTTGCAGATCACCACCGTCATCATGTGAATAGAAGAGGCATTCCGTATTGATAAGAAATCTGTTATGCAGAGTCGATTATGCGATTCCGTCTATATCATTGCAATTAATTATGATTTTAAATGGATTGATTGTCTATTTTCGGTTTGGTTAGGTATGAATAAAAAACGTCACGCGGATTCAGGCTTTCGGTTCACACATCAATGAATCGAAAACAAACAACCAATCATTATAATCAGATTCGAAACGACAACTTGGTATGAACATTGGTTAAATTCAAAACAATCATGTATGGTGCTCACTACTCTGTGTCACAGTCCCCTGAGCCGCGTTCTTTCCATCCCGGCCAGCCTTTCCTGCAATGCTAAAGCGCTAAATGCAGCAAGTCTAGATTTCCTCAGGTTCTGAATCTTCCTTCTCCCTGGGTTCCTTTTAAAATTGGGGCGGCGGGGTAGCCTAGTGGTCAAAGCGTTCACTCGTCACGCCCAAGGCCCGGGTTCAATTCCCCACATGGGTACAATGTGTGAAGCTCATTTATGGTTTCCCCCGCCGTGATGTTGCTGGAATATTACTAAAAGCGGCGTAAAACCATACCCACTCACTCCTTTTCAAATTAAAAGGACCGCCTCCGTGGTGTAGTGGTTGAGCGTCCGCCCGGAGAGCGGAAGGTCGCGGGTTCGATCCCCGACCGCTTCATACCAAAAGACGTTAAAATATGGTACTTGTTGGTAATTTGTTGGTCCTCGCCTGGCGCTCGGTATTAACGGGTACAACAAGGATAGATCGGCTCGGAGTCAGTATAATGTGTCTGAGCGGGGTATTCATGCTTCACTGCGGCATAGTATCTCAGTGGGTTAGCACTATAAAACCTTCTTCAGTCTGGGCTAGTACAAGCAGCCGCACACACATACACACGCATGCACGTCGTCATGTGAGCGAAATATTCTCAAGCACGACGTTAAACCCCATTTCACCTCACCTCAACTCAAATTAAAAGGAATTGTTTGTTTCAATCAAAATTATATTCAGAGACTAAATGTTAGTCTGTTCGCTCGCAAGTTCAGGGAGTATGGGAGAGAACACCTTCTATCATCACTATTTGGCTTCAGATCACCTACGTGCAGCTCAACCAAAACCAACCTTCTTGAAACTGCCCCACCCGAACCGCCGCCAACAATCACATCTCTATTTTGTTCGCAAAAAAATACAAGTGGCACTGAATAACATTTCCGATTGCGCTATCGATATTTTACCAGGGCTTCAGTCCTTTGAGCTGACGGACGGACAATACAGTTAAGTTGCTCTTTCCGAATCTCTCTTTTTCATTCCTCAAGAAGTCAGAAATTGCTTCCACAGAAACCAATGTTCAAAGATCACATTTGCAAATAGCCAATACTTTAGAATCGGCTTCTTTAAACGAAAGATTAATAGTAGTATTAGTTTTGCCTGATTGGTTCGCAATGAAAAATGCACGTGATTGCGGCCACCAATGAACACCACATGGTAAAGTAATCGTTAATTTTCATACCATATCCGACTTTGAAATTAACTTTCAACACACCAAGAATGAACCTGAAGTAATAGACTATTTAATTCAAGCTTAATCTCAACCAAGAAGGTGCGGAAACTTATCAACTTTCTAATTACCCTCAACTGCTGACCAATGTGTATATGGACGTGCGTGAGTGAGTGACTGTGGTTTTACGCCGCCTTTTAGCAATATTCCAGCAATGTCAAGGCGGGGGGACACCAGAGATGGGCTTAACACATTGTACCCATGTGGGGAATCAAACCCGGGTCCTCGGCGTGACCAGCGGACGCTTTAACCACAAGGCACTAGGTGTGTGACGAAGAACGTTCATTACCGTTGTACCCTAATCCAGTGTAAATATTGTATTGTTCTATGTTATAAAATGAAAGGCCCGACAACACATCAACCCCGACTAAGTGAAGCTGCAGTTCAAGGCATCAGACCTGAAGATTATACACAAGGGATGTCTTCACGTCTCACCTGATGATATATACACGAGGGATGTCTTCACGTCTCACCTGATGATATATACACGAGGGATGTCTTCACGTCTCACCTGATGATATATACACGAGGGATGTCTTCACGTCTCACCTGATGATATATACACGAGGGATGTCTTCACGTCTCACCTGATGATATACACATGTCTTCTCTCACCTGATGATATATCACGACCTGACCTGATGATATATACACGAGGGATGTCTTCACGTCTCACCTGATGATCACGAGGGATGTCTTCACGTCTCACCTGATGATATACACGAGGGAGGTCTCACCTGATGTCTTCTTCACGTCTCACCTGATGATATATACACGAGGGATGTCTTCACGTCTCACCTGATGATATATACACGAGGGATGTCTTCTGATGATATATGCACGAGGGATGTCTTCACGTCTCACCTGATGATATATACACGAGGGATGTCTTCACGTCTCACCTGATGATATATACACGAGGGATGTCTTCACGTCTCACCTGATGATATATACACTTCACGTCTCACCTGAGGATGATATACACGATGTCTTCACATCTCACCTGATGATGATATATACACCTGATGATATATGGATGTCTTCACGTCTCACCTGATGATATATACACGAGGGATGTCTTCACATCTCACCTGATGATATATACACGAGGGATGTCTTCACATCTCACCTGATGATATATACACGAGGGATGTCTTCACATGATATATACACGAGGGATGTCTGATGATGATATATACACGAGGGATGTCTTCACATCTCACCTGATGATATATACACGAGGGATGTCTTCACATCTCACCTGATGATATATACACGAGGGATGTCTTCACATCTCACCTGATGAGATATACACGAGGGATGTCTTCACATCTCACCTGATGATATATACACGAGGGATGTCTTCACATCTCACCTGATGATATATACACGAGGGATGCATGTCTTCACATCTCACCTGATGATATATACACGAGGGACGTCTTCACATCTTACCTGATGATATATACACAAGGGATGTCTTCACACCTGACCTGATGATATATATAGGGGTGTCAGTGGTTCGAATTTCCCGTGTCTGGGGTAATTAGTTAATATATGTTTGGTTATATTCAGGTCTGATGTGGTCAATGCATGACACTTTATGTAATCGTCACATCGCAACACAGCAAACGAGACATGACAGTTGTAATTCCGCCAAAAATAACATTTACAGAGGATTGACTACACTGATTGATTAAAAGAAGAGCACTCCGGTTAGGAAAACGGCATTTTTGTCTTGGTTCAGCAACATGTTAAACCCTTTGAAACTGAACAAATGACAAACTGCAGTTTCTAGGGAATTCGCATGTGCTGTAATATTTGGGGGGCAGACAGATTCCGCCAATCACGTTAAAGGGCCACTGATCCAGAGCGAGTAATGTTTCTCGCCAACAGTCTTATTACGAAACCTAGCTGCAAGCTTGTCAGTACCTGCTCCCTCGACCGTGACGAACATGGGGACTGGGCTACTGTCCACCATGGCAGAATTTCTTCAGCCTAAACAGTGGGACATTAGGAAGGGTGGATGTCCATCAGATGCCGTTATTTGAAAACAGCCCCGGTAGTTCTTGTCTGATTGTAATAAAGTATCAAAGCAGTGTAGGCTTTTCTGATTGTCTAATGCCTGGATGGTCTAGTGACTGATCCAATTTGATCCTATTTCTGATCCTATTTTACTTCGATATTTAATCATGTCATGTAAAAATATGATGCCTAATACCTATGATATTAAAAACAGACATTTGATTTCTTTGAATCCGTAAACTAAACAACCCCGCTTTGCCATTGCTAGAAAAATATGAAAGGTTGCTTAGATAAATAGGTTTAAATAAGTTTCACAGAGGGTACTGCAGAGCGTCGCCTGAACAACCCATAGTCATAACTGATTTATCCATAGCTAACATAGCGTTTCACTAACGATAAACTCATGGTTAACTATGTGGCTTCCTTTTCTAGAGAAGAAGAGAAAAAAATAGAGAAAATAATTCACTGCATTTCTCAGAATCATATTTCGTTTGAAGAATCATTTTCTAATGAACCGCTTGTTAATAGCATTTGGGGTCACATATCTCGTAAAAATATTTTTCGAGCACCGATAGTAAAAGAATATTTCGCTTAAAACCATTCACCGTTCCATTGAAAATGTGTATTTCGATCCATTACTTCGTTGTCTAGCCCGAGTTTTATAATAATCCACTGGTTTCTCTCTTGCAAGCCGCAGGAACATGGCGTATTTAGAAATCAATAGACAGGAGCCCAGTTGCGTGGATGCCAGCCTGACTGCGTGTCAGGTGCGTGCGCATCACCAATGGCCGAAAATGGCAGACAGCTCCAAGAGAGATAAAATCGCCGCTGCCAAAAAGAGGGTATTTACAAATAAGTTAAACGAACTAGCATGCCGGATGATAATTATTTATTGTTTACACATGTTGTATGTATGTAGGGGTTCCGCGAAATGCATACTATGAGATAAACCCGAAAGTAAATCGAACCATTCGGAAGTGTTTTTTTTGCTAAGTAAGTTGCCAACATCAATTTGACAGATGGAAACATTTTTGTGCGTTTTGATTGATATGCAAGATCATACTTTTGCATATCATGCCAGTGAACCTCAAAATAGTAGGTACATATATTGCAACCGCATTTCGTGGAAGTTCAACTTGTTAATATGAAATTATCCGTTACACTATTGTGGATGAACGTGTTAAATCGAAAATGCACATGCTTATAATTTCTTATGTCGGCATGAAAGCCGTGTTAGTTGTCAATGTCATATGTCGACGCGCTATTATAACATCAACTGGCATACCTTTGTCTTATGCAGACTTTGCACTGTCAATGGTGAAATGTAAACAGTAAACACGTCACCAAGGGACAACTGCACAAATTTCATACTGGAGACATTTGCTGGTAGTTGTGGTATATATTACACATACACAGGATTTGTACAACATATCAGTTGCCAGTTAGTTGATTGGTGCTTCCAACATGGAAGTAGTTATCAGTGGTCCACATTTAAAAAAAAATTAATGTTCCCAAGATTACAAGAATAGTCGTAAAATGAATATTCATATATTTTGTGCGGTTTCATGTGAATGATCCTCAATATTTGATAGCAGTACATTTCATTGAATTAAAATGCACCATTGTAAAACTTGTTTGATTTAAATGAAGGGATATTTCAGTTTAGCATTCGTTGGTTTCACATTAATTTTCAACTGGCTGTGCGCATGGTTTGGTCGTATGCTTTACCGATAGTATAAACACACTGTAAAGAAAGCAAAAATCAAAACAAATATAAGGTTTTATGTCGAATTTAACTGATCGCAATTCATTTATGAATGGAAGGGACTGGGATTAGTTAAATAAATAGCTTAACGTTTGTTAACAAGCTCTTTATCTCACCACCACCCGTCCACCGTCCTTCCTACACATCCCCTTCTCACAACTAAAAAAACACATCTCTGATGCAATTGCCACTAAAATAGGAAATCAATTATTGAAAAGCATAGGCAAATGGATGTATGTACTCAACTATGAACAGTTGTCACACGTAAATAATCTTCAGACAGCTTTTATTTAGAGTGTGTTTACATTATCAGTAATACGACCAAAGCGGAAGTTGACCAGTGGATATTTTTACACGCTCTACGCATGCGCACAGCGACTCGAAAATTAATGTGAAAACAACGAATGGAAATAGTTCTTACTTACATATGAATATTGTGAGAGCATCATTTGTAGCATTGTCTCAGAAGCCATTTTCTTACAAAATAGTGCATTTAACCAGAATTATTGCATTTCACCAGTTAGACAGAATTAAGGGGAAATGTTTTGAGAGTAAAATTTATTTTGAAAGAGATGTTAATGTGTTTAACCAGACCGTGATGTTTTGCTTACATCATTTACATACCAACGTTGGCAATAGGTTTTTCTTAAATCATTATTAAATGTTAGTCTCATGAAATTTCTTTCTCTTTCTCTGATGCATAACCACTCTGATTAAATACAAGATAACACCTCCATAGAAATTTGAATATATAAAATATTTCCATCATCCAGGCAGCATGCAGGATATCATATCATGTCCATATCACCATGTGCTACATATCAAGATAGACATTGCTGAACTGAGATGGTATAGGAGTGGAAACGAATAGTTTTAGAACTGACATTAGGATCATTCTTTACTTTGTTTGGTTTGGTCAAAGTTAGCTTTATGGTATAACTGCTGGCTTGTGTGGACGTATTGTCATATCTTCCCACAAAGTGGTACCTTATCAGATTCAGAGTGAGAGATCTTTCCATGAGATTTCTTCAACTGTTAAACCGACCTACGAATCAATAATTTACAGTACGTCAGCTACGTACACCTTGCACATATTACCAGTGGATTCTTACAGCGTGTACAGGGGTTGATATAACTTCATGTTTTCTATATATGTCATGATTATGTTAAATTGGACTTGGATATTGTTTGACATTGATTCTGTGGGTAGACATGGCAGAGAGTCAATAAGTATAGTGTTTCAAACCTCATCTGCCATGCAACTTTTGCAACTTTTTGTGTGAATTCTTTTTGTTTTGCATTTGAAGGATGTCATAATCTGACCTTACCTCATCATAAACTCATTTTGCCAGATTTGTGCTTGAGATGAGTGCTGATGCAGGAAAAGACAGATTCATTCATTTCATTAGGATTTTGTGTTGATTTGTTGAAACCATTTGTCCATATGTCATTACTTATTTAGAAAAATGCTTTTTGACATTTTGTTGACTAGGAATGGCTGGAGTGTTGTTCATTGTGCATTAAGCAATAATCACTCCCTCTGCAAGGACATTTTGTTTAACAATCTGCAAGTCTCCTAGAAAATGAACTGATCTGAATCTCCCTCAATAGTGTCATCATTTTTTGTACCATGGTGACACTTTAATGGTATAATAACAAAACCAATCATAACAAAGCTGTCACATATGACATGTATGATGATGGCGTTTCATTTATTTGTTCAATTCAATTAACTTTGTGGTGTATTTGCCTAACTGGTCTTTCTGATTAGTCAGTTAGTTAGTCTAAGCTGTGCTTGATAAACAAGAATTTCACTTTTTAATTGGGTTAGGTCTGTTGTTTTGCCCATGTTATTTTTGAAAAACGTATTTGCTAAAGAATAGCGGTTTCCATGGTTGTAGAGAAATGCTTGGCAATCACTACATTGTAGCGCCATTGATCATGTTGATGTGTCGCCTCACCAATACATCGATAGTGTTGATGTGTCATTCATCCTCGATAATCTCTAGGGTATACGTTACGAGAACTCTCCACTATACCCTGGATGCATCCACGGCTTGGGGCGATGATTTTATTACCTCCTTTGGCTGGCTCCATGGAGTAGTTAAGCGGCTGTTACAACCGAGCTTGCCAGTGTCAACAAAGATAGTGGTACGCTGATGTCTTTGCTTGCCACTCAGATTTTGAACTCTGAAAAGGCTAAAAATTGACAGATCTATACTTGAAAATATGAAACATTAAACGGTTAGATAATTTAAGAAGCCTGAATTGTGATTAGTGCTTTCCCATTAGGCACCTTTTGGATAAAAAGCCATGTAATAAAATCATACTGTACATCCAGAATGGATTACTTTACCCTGGAGCTCGAGGATGTGTTAATCTGTTTGTTCACTGTGGAAGTTGAGAGCTGTTCCTGGTTCTGCTATGCAAATAAGAATGAAGTCACCGTCCTGAATCACTTACTCAGTTTTGAACTGAGATGTAAAATGTACATATAGTTAAAACATTTTGTTTCAAGCCTCATAGTATTGTTTTCTTCATCCATTACTGTACATAATGAACATGATTGTGTGTCATGCAAGGCAAGGATGGTGGAAATAAATCACCATCTGAATCACCATGATAACTGAGATACATCATGATAGAGCATAGTATTGTTTTAATCATAACTAATGAACATGATTGTGCAAAATTAAATACTGATAAGTTGATAATCTGTAACAGTAGTCATGTTGATGAAATGAACTTAACATGCTGAACATTTTTTTGTATCAAAATGCAAAACACAAAATTGAAAAAAATTATGGCAAAAGTAATGAATAGTAAACAAAGCAATATTTTTGTTGGTTTTCTATTTTTAAGTTTGTAACTAAACTATCAAACTTATTTTAACTGGTATTTGAATTGGTCTCCAACAACCCATGCTTGTCATAAGAGGCGATTAATGGGATTGGGTAGTGAGACTTGCATCGACACGTTACCTTATCTCAACTGCACCAATCGATGCCCATGCTGTTGATCACTGGATTGTCTGGTCCAGACTTGATTATTTACAGATAGCTTCCATATTGCTGGAGTATTTCTGAGAGCAGCATTAAACAGCAAACAAACAAACAAACAAAACAAAACAATCATGTGTAGAGTTGCTGGTTACCATGGTTACATTGTATACCATGGCTGATTGTGTGTCAGACTCATAGCATGAATGGCTGGCATCATGGCTTGTGCACTAGTCAATATCAAGATAATGAATGCTGTTAAGTTATAGTGATTGTAGCTAACTAAATGTATTTGATTTCAGCTGAAACAATTTCAACAGAAGTCTGGCCGAACCCCCACCACCTCGCCAGCCGGTCCCCAGTCCAACAAAACAAACAAAGATAAGACACCAAACAAGGACAACATCTCCACTAATCTGTCTCCAGAACAGAGCAAGGTAAGGGGCAGGCAGGAGGTCCCCAATAGCATCTGCATGGTGTGTCTTGTATTTACTCAACATGCTCCAGACTGACTTTGATATTGAACATTGATAGCGTCTGTTCTCTCCTGTGTGTAACATATTTCACTGACTTGTATCTTGAATTGGAATGTTGTTCCCACATTTAATCAGCATTGTGGTGTGAAAAGAATTATCTTTTACTGAGAGTGAGACCTTCCTTAAGATTTACCTTGTTCTGCATTTTATGAAAGGGATTGATGAGATGAGATGCTTTGAACATTTGGGGCATTTGTTTATGTTGAATTCTCAGCTATTGTGTCAGCTGTAACCATGACAACATCTGACTGATGCATGGCTAGGAATCTTATTATTTTATTTATCATGGTGCACAATCGCATGATAGGTACATTTTTGTATTTGTGGAATCAAGATCTGCCAACTGTTTTGCTCAAAATAATTGGGGATTTTTAAAAAATTTAAATATACATGTCATACCCTTAAAATTATTTTGAGAATAGTCATTTAAAAAAAATTAATTTCACTAAAACTTTTGATGCTGACATTATTTTTCCAAATCATATAGGTTGTGGTATAATTCCCTTCACGATACATCTGGAGTTATGTCCCTTGTCCTGTTTACACAGACTTTGCCAGTATTACCCCCCTTTGTGTTCTTAGAAAACAGCAATGAATAAAACTTCCTGCAGACGATGGCTCTAAAGATGACAAATTCGTTTGTTAAAACGTCTATGATCCCGTTTAAGAGAAAGAAGTTGAAGTTTGGATATTTTGTTTTAGCTTCTATTCCCTATTTCGAATTCTGAATTTTACAGAAAAACATGTTGGATGGTCAAGCTGTTCACTTGATTGTTGACATCTTTTTCTCCAGCAGCTAATTTGAGATTGTGAGATTGAATCCAGGGGATAGTGTAGGCTTACAGAAATGTGAGCTCTGGAGTTATGGAGGATGAGAACTTGACTACAGCATAGTTTAATAAAAATCAAAAAACACTTTTAACATGATTGGAAAGACATACCATGTAATGTTTTAATTTCACATATGAGTGGATGTAAATCATGATACTCAACTTAACAATTCCGTCATTCGTGATGTAACTTCAGTACTGTTCGAAAGGGTGTAAAGCCCAACTCACTCACTCTCCTGTTCCGTGTTGAGAAGGACGTGTGAATTCTGTGGTTCCTTCCAGGTGCCCGAGACAAACAGTGAAACTAACGACAACCCCTCCCCCAAGTCAGCCGTTGATTCCAGGTGGGTACATCATTTGTCGGTCAGGGAACATTGGTATATTTCAGAACCTGGGATACCCTCCTGCATTGCTATGTTGCTTCTTGTATTTTAAGTTTAAACTGTGCTTTATTATTTGGATGAGGGCATCTATTTATCATCATTGATTATGTTGATTGTGATTGATTAAGTTAACCTAGTGTTTTACATCAGTGAATAAAGTTTTAAAATGAGCATAATGAATGTCCTGATCTGATAATCCTTTATTAGTTCATTGCGTATGTTTATGAAAATGTTATGTGTATAATATTGGAGCTGTTACAAGAAACATTTAGCATGTTTAGGCTTACTGGCCCACACTGCATTTTCGTGTGAATGCAATGTATTGTTAATATGTTAACTTGTTATAGTTCAACTAAGTATCCAAAGCAGAATTTTACTAGATACGGCTAAATGTTGGTACTAGTAGCTAAATTACACAATAAACTGGAATCTAAAGTTGAGCTCATCTAAACATGTTGTGACTGAGAGTGTGAAACATAAAGGGTTTTTAATTGTACTGTTTCAAATAAGTAAGTTCAGGTGTTTATGCTCTAGCATGTAGATAGTTATTTGAAGCTTTTGTTTTGCACAATATAGACAATGTCAAGAGCAGCCCAAACATGGCCACTCCGTGTTGTTTGGCTCCACTACCAGGTATTGCTGCAGTGTGAATCTGTTCTTAGTTGTGTTGCTGCTTGCCTGCTGTTTCTCCACTGACTGAGCTTTAAGTAGTCCTGGATATAACCTAATTTCAAGCCAAAGTCAAAAGATGTTTATTGTATGAAAGGCAAGAAAAGCAAGTTCAGAAGATCATAATAGAATACCGTAGTGGTTGAAGCGTTCACTCATCACGCCAAAGACCCGGGTTCGATTTCCCACATGGATACAATGTGTGAATCCCATTTCTGGTGTCCCCGCCATGATATTGCTGGAATATTGCTAAAAGAGGCGTAAAACTAAAACTCACTCATTATCACAGGAGTTTGTAGTCCAAGCCTGAGCAGTAGAGAGCAAATGTAGTTCCAACATCAGTAAAACTAAACCTTTTTCAGTGAGAATTCCTGGGCAGTCATTGTCCTTCTTTGTTGTTGAATTTTCTGAACATGTCAGGACATTTATTTTGGAATAGTTAAGGCTCAGTCATACTTTTCATTGCTTTTCAGCCTGTTGATATTAGACATGATAAAGCCTGTAGATCTTTGATACTTACTCACATATCTCACCTCTGATTACTATTGTTTCACTTATGCTAGTAATTTTTAGCATGTTTAGAACTGTTATGGTATGATACTTTCAAGATTTTCAGCTTAAGCATGTGCATAGAGACAAGTACGTGTTTCATAGTATTATAACTTCATTCTATTTCTACCTGTGAAGATCCAGGATAGAATTAGTCATCAGCATCCCATACTTGTCTAAAGAGGCGACAAAGTGAATCGGGTGGTCAGACTCAGTGACTTGGTTGACGTATGTCATGTCACAATTGTGCAGATTGATGCTCATTATATCAACCTCTTGATTTCCCAGTCCAGACTTGATTATATTTTCATACAGCGGGAATGTTGCTGAGTATGGTGGTGAATAATAAAAAACAAACCAATAATTCTACTTCACGACTTCTGCACATTTGCACAAAAGATGTCATTTTAATGGGTGATTATTTATCCACAAATACGAGCACTCACTCAAGGGCGTTGCGTTCCTGTTTATGGACATTATTGTTAGCATTGAGTCACAACTGGTGTGTGAAAGTAGAATTTTCTTCTGTCAACCTCACTATATGATACACATTATCATACGCTATTCTATACAAGTATAGTGTTATTATTGTGTCTGTGTCAATCGATGCTCATATGTAAATTTTTGTATATCTCCTCCCTTCCTCACCTCTCTTCCCTTAATGATGAAAGAAAAATAACTTCCCCGTCGACCATGGTGATCACTATGATGCTAAGTGTCGAGGCAGGTTTAGTCAGAGACTGTGTTGGTTTTGTTAGTGCAAGAAGCATTTGTAACCCTTCGCATGATCTGTACCAGCAGCCTTGTGTATAGAACATATATGACATCTGGTAGTCCAGAGTGCAGTAGTACAAAGCAGCCTTGTGTATAGAACATATATGACATCTAGTAGTCCAGGGTGCTGTAGTACAAAGCAGTCTTGTGTATAGAACATATATGACAACTGGTAGTCTACATCACATATTTTGTGTACCCCTCTGACAAATGTGATTTAGCACAGCTCTCATGTCAGTAAGCCATGAATACATTATGCCTGTTTGAAAGTGATCAAATGTTAATTGGTTATGAACTCTATATTTGGGATTACACTTTCTAGTACCTTTAGACCTGTGAAGATCCGGAATAGAATTGATCTTCAGTAACCAATATTTGTCATAAGAGGTGACTAACAGGATCAGATGGTCATGCTCGCTGACACATGTCATCACATCCCATTATTGTAGATCGATGCTCATGCTGTTGATCACTGGATAGTCTGGTCCAGACTCGATTATTTACAGACTGCCGTCATATAGTTGGAATATTGTTGAGTGCGGCGTTGAACAACAAACCAGCTAACCAACAAACTTTTCTGGTTCAGTCCCATCCATCACTGACTTTGTATGCTGGCGATTTGGTGCTTCACTCCGAGCACGTCTTTTTGAATCTGAGATGGAATGAGTAATTTGGGCTTTACGCCACTTTTAGCAATATTCAAGCAAGATGGGGGGGGACACCAAAAATGAGCTTTACACATTGTGCCCATGTGGGGTATCAAACCCAGGCCTTCAGCTTGATGTGCAAACGTTTTAACCTCTATACTACCCCACGACCCCATCTCTCAGATGGAACAGAACGCCAAAAGTACTAGCATCTGTAACTTAGTGTAAGTTACTGAGAAAGTGTAATGCAAAATATAACATGTTACATATGACCACTTTCTAAAAGTCTATGTGTATTCATTCATCTGTATTTAAGCAACCACATACGTGTATCTAAGTGTAAGGACTACAGAAAGTTGCCATGATTATGTATTAGTTCAGTTACCTTTCCTTGAGTCCAGATTTGTCCAGTTATTTCTCACCTTGATATCAGCCCAGTTTGTTCTAACCCTTACTAACACCAACTACTTCTCCTTCTTGTCTTGTTACAAACACTCAACAAAATCCAATCAGAACTGGGGTGATCTTTGTTGCGAAATTCAGTTCATTAACCTCCCCATTCCTTGCACTTTAAAATAGCATGTTATATTATCTTGTTTTAGTATGATGCTGGTTAAAAAGAAACAGCTGTATTGTTTGAATCCTTTTGGCTGAAGCACTGTAACTTGCTGTATTATGATGTTTTCAAATAACCCTGCTTGCCGTCCCCCTCGTTCACATTATTGTTGAACACTACATGGCAGTATCTAATTTTGTTGATTACCATTTTTAGTGATTTTGTAAACATGGTAACGCTCTTGTGGGTCTGACTTAACTGAACATAGTTTCCAACTAGATGCAGGTTTGACATAAGCAGCAATATCACTGTGATAAACATTTATGGCTTTGTTGCACATCTTCACTGTTGCAACAAAATCTGAAATTAAAACATCCTTCCCCTCTCTCATTATGCGTATCAGTGAAGAAAACATCTTTTTGGGTTTACTTAGAGTCTTGATTAAATGTACCCGTGAAGGTCCATGTTAGAATAAACCTTCAGTAACCCATGCTTGTCGTAAGAGGCGACTAACGGGATCGGGTGGTCAGGCTCGATGGCTTGGTTGAGACATGTCATCGGTTCCCAATTGCGCAGATCGATGCTCATGCTGTTGATCACTGGATTGTATGGTCCAGACTTGATTATTTTCAGACCGCCGCCATGTAGCTGGAATATTGCTGAGTGCGGCGTAAAACTAAACTCACTCACTCACTTGATTAAATGTACGTAGGTTTGAAATATGAAATGTGCCGAACCCTAATTCAGTTCATGAGCATGAGAGCAGTGGCGTAGTCTTGTGGTTAAAGTGTTTGCTTGTCACGTCAAAGGCCCGGGCTTCAATTCCCCACATGGGCACAATGTGTGAAGCCCATTTCTGGTGTCCTCTGTTGTGATATTGCTGGAATATTGCTAAAAGTGGCAGAAAGCCATAGTCACTCATGAGGTTGGTTAGGAAATTGAGATGTGAACTTTAGAAAATAAAGCCTTAGTGTCTTTAAAGAATGTTATGATACAGAGGAAATGCAAGGATGCTGAGAATGTTTGAAGTATCTTCATGTTGCTTGTTGTTTGTTCAGAACAACCTCCTCCACTGAGAGTCTACAGCAGCTCTCTAGACAGATCAATGGACTTCTAGCAGAGGTGGGTTGGAACGATTAGAGCTAGGGTGAAACAAAACTCATACCCTGCAATGTGTGTCTTCAATAAAAACCCGGATAAAGTTGATTTTTTTTCTTAATTTAATCAATTTCATTACCAAACATGAAGAAATAGTCATTGACGGGATCATGAATGAATATTGTTAGGGAGGGAAAGCAATAGTAAAGAGAACTAGAAACTAATTTTCAGTACATAATTATATGACTATTCTCTAGATGTGTATTCTCGTTATTCTGATGTCATTGTTAAGGTGTTAACGTTTCTGTTTATTTACCAAATGCAGATCAGTCATATCAACACAATAGTTCTTTGTCAAATGACTTGTCCGAGATGAAACGGTTATTTCAATGTGTTCAATGTGTCATGGTGTATGCACAACTCTTGATCAGTTTGTTATTTCTCATGATATTAATTTTAAACATTTGTCCTCTTGTTTACAGACGTCCGACTTTGTCAATGGTGACGAGATGGAAACTACAAATGGTTCAAGTGTTGCAGAGCTTGAGGTGAGTCGATTTTGGTGGTAAATTGTGTCACATAATAAGAACTGAAAAGCAACTCTTTCTGTCCAATATCAGTGTATGCTGTCAGTTTCATGTCGCTGCAAATTAGAAACCAAGGGAACAACATATTATGAATGCTTTTGTTGTCCCCGCCGCGCAGCGGAACGGGGACTATGTCAGCAGCGTCCGTCCGTAACGCCTCCGATTCTTGTTAACGCGAAATCTCATGAACTGTTGTACCCAATGTCTTCAAATTTGGTGTCAGCCTACATTGCGGGATTACGCAGACACCAGTCGATTTGCGTGACCTTGACCTTATTTTCAAGGCTTATCTTCAAGGTCACCACGACACTTTGACCACTTTTCCAACTCTTGTTCCCGCGATATCTCATGAACTGTTATACCCAATGTCTTCAAATTTGGTGTCAGCCTACATTGGGTGATTACGCAGACACCAGTTGATTTGCATGACCTTGACCTTATCTTCAAGGTCACCACAATACTTTGACCACATTTCAAACTTATTTAAACGCGATATCTCATAAAACATTGCACCCAATGTTTTCAATTATGTTGACAGCCTACATTGGGTGATTATGCAGACACCAGTCATTTCAGGCATCGTGTGTGTGACCAAAAAATAGTAAATATAGATATTCCATTCTTTAGCGGCGGGGGACATTGCCATATCAGTGGCAAACACTTGTTTTTATTGTTTTCCTTTGAAATTCTGAAGTTTTCTTGTGTAATATGTTATCAATATGTAGCAAACTATATGTCAGGGGCTTCACCATGTACCTAATATATAGTCAGGATATGTCACTCTTAGTTTGCTATGTTTATCAACAAATGTACCTTGTGCAATAGAAAACATTTTTATGAATCCTAGAAAGAGTGCATTACTCTTGATACAATCTAACGGACATCTTGTTTAGGCACATGTAATTTTGTTGTTGTTTTTGAACATGTTCACTGTTGGTATTCATCTTTTTTCCTAGAAGCGGAATCGTGAACTTGCAGCTCTCCTGGAGAAATACTCATCAAGTAATGAACAGCTGACAACTCAGATTGAACAAGTTGTGAGTCACTTAGCTTCTATACAGGGTTTATGAGTTGGGATATATTGGCTGTTTGGCTCAGTTTAGTATTACCACTATATATGGATTAGTTTTCCACCACTTGAAACAATGGACCAAGTGGTCCTTGTCATAACTCTGTCTCAACTGTGTTGTTTGTTATGTGTCAGATAACAAACTTGTCCACTTCTGTTTACGTTAGTGTTGACAAAGTTTCTGGTTACCTCCGACCCGTGATGGTCCGGGTTAGAATTGGTGTTCAGCAACCCATGCTTGTCGTAAGAGGCGACTAACTGGATCGGGTGGTCAGGTTCGCTGACTTGGTTGACACATGTCATTGGTTCAGATAGATGCTCATGCTGTTGATCACTGGATTGTCTGGTCCAGACTTGATTATTTAGAGACCACTGCCATATAGCTGGAATATTGCTGAGTGCAGTGTAAAACTAAACTCACTCACTCACTCATTCTGGTTACCTCCCCTTGAGTTCAAGGTCCGTTATAAGGTTTGATGGCTGCCACCTGTGGACACAGATTGATGTTATTTGTTGTGCTTGTTATAGAGAAGTCATGCAAAGAATCTGCAGGAGCAGCTGGATCAGGAACGAGATGGTTTTGATGATAAACACAAGAAAGATGTTGGGTCTCTCAGGGAACAACTTCAGGTATTGTCATTCAGTTGTATTTCATAACCAGGCTTCGGCGCTAACGAGTATTATTATGGTGATGATTTTTTAAATTTGTTTTGGATTTATTTTTTTTTGTAATCATAAATCAACCACAGTGTGAAGCTACGGAGTAATCAGGGCAAGGTTGGCTCTGTCATTTGAGAGGCTGCAAATTGCTGTACAGAGTTGCTTCTCTTAGACATACCAGAAACATAAAATCAAGAGTTCCAAACCAAGATTTTTACTGCTAAAATCTCTACCTCGTTCGCTGCCTACTTATGTTCATTGAATTCACCAAAGAAGTAAATCAGAAAGAGAACAATGACTTACAAAGTAACATCAAAATTCGAAATAATTGATGATATTATTATGGTACACCGCAGTGAATACCATGTACTCAGCAATACCGATGTTTATTTTATACCAATCACTGGAAAAGGTTGTTAAGGAAAGTATCATGTTATTACGTGTACAAGCTGACATCTTTAACAGAGGGGGCACAACAGTAAGAGGAACAGTGCTAACAGTCCCTGTTTTTTCTTCAACCTACTCTATTGTATAAATGTCAACCGTCCCTATCTACATCACCCCCAACATCACCTTCCTTCACTTGCTTGATCAAGGTGTTATAATCTACACTGTTTATATATGAGGACTTTAGTTAATCTGAAGACCACTCTGAACCGCTTCCATGAGCATGGCTGGTGGCATGGCTTCCATTAGCTTGTGGCAGTGTTGTGATGCTAGGTCAACACTGTGCCTCTGCTTACTAAGTTAACTACAAAGCAGATCTGGTTAACAAGCTCCCTGTTCTTGCAGGTACACATACAGACAATCGGGATACTTGTTGCGGAGAAGACGGAGCTTCAGTCGCAAGTCAGCCAGTCACAGCGAATTGCGGAGCAGAGATTAGGTAGGATGGCATAGGCCAGTCACAGGAAATTGCAGAGCAGAGATTAGTTAGGATGGCACAAGTCAGTCACTGCAAATTGCAGAGCAGAGGTTCGGTCGGGTGCATAAACCAGTTACCGTTCTTTGCAGAGCAGAGATTAGGTAGGATGGCTGAAGTCAGTCACACAGCATTTGCATCTGCCAGTCATAGTACATTTGCAGAACAGTTGCAGAATGGGTAATGTAGGGTGACATCAACCTCTCGTTGCAGAATGGGTAATGTAGGGTGACATCAACCTCTCGCACTCTTATACAGATCTCCATCTTGTTAAAAATACCCAGGATACATCTGCCACTAAAGATTTGGTCAGAAGCAGCAGAAACATCAGAAGCAGAAACTTTGCACAGAATCTATATCTCTCCCGAACTTGAAATATTAATAAACTCATTAAAATACCTCTTTCGGTCACAGCTTCACACGAGATAACTTGCTACATTTCGTATCATGTGATATATTCATATGTTCAATCACGACAGATCATGTACCAGTTAGATTGTTGTAAGCATGTTGGATCCAGGTATGTATCATTAACACTTTACATGCATGGCACAAGCTTTGCTTACTGAATATATCATGATTTCAGATGAGATTGAGGAGTTGAGTGGTCGTCTGAAAGCTTCTCGTCAGAGAGTGGGTGACCTTGAGAGAAATGTATCATCAGTGTCTTCGTCTAGTCAACAATATGAAAAGGTTGGTGCTTATTGATGTATCCTAACACATATTAGATGCATAAATTAATGAAATGTAGTAATTGTATACATGCTCGAAATCACAAACTGTTTTTTGATATCTGCTAAAGAAAGGTGTGTTTTTTAATTTGTCCTGTTTATTTCAGTATTTTTAAAGGGCTCTGATTTGAATTTAGACATTTTTAACATTTATGCTAAGAGGGTCATACCACAATGCAAATTGCCATCATACGATGTTTCTTGAAGTTGTGTTGCTATTAACGCTGCCTCAGCAAATACCACTGATTTGCTTGAATTGTTTGAATTAGTATACCCAGGTACTGCTACTGTCGTTGAAATGATTCAGGGATGCCAATGTCAGGGGTGTCACAGTTCACAGATATATTGATCTGGTGTGAATTGGCAACTGAAGAAAGATCATGAGCCTGACGTGTACCAAGTCATATTTTTTTACTATAGATTTTCAAGGAATTCAGCGTATACAGTTTTGGACCTGGTCTGATAATTACTCATGTTATCATCAGCGTACTATTTAAAAAATCTGGTTCAAATATGCTATTACAAATAAAAACTGTATTAACTAGTCACACATGTTCAACATAGACTGGTTAAAAAAACTGGTTTGACTCAAAATAGGTAAACTCAAAACTGTATTTTGCATAAACTGGTTACAAAAATTGTTTGACACAAGCTGGTGAAAAAAATCTGGTTTGGTACAAACTGGTTAAACTCAAAACTGGCTTAACACAGACTGGTTGAACACAAACAGGTTTAACACACACTGATTTAGCACCAACTGGTTAAATGCAAACTGTTGAAACAAAAACTTTCACTATCCTCACATTAGCAATGCCAAATGGTACATGAAACAGTTCTTGCAAGAGGTAAAGTATTGTAGTACATACCAGTATATCAGGACTTGCGATGTGTGAGTGAGGTGGCCGTGACACCCCAGCCGACATGGTACACCTCTGACTGTGACTGGTACATACCAGTCAGTGTTGTAGTACATACCAGTATATCAGGACTTGCTGACTGGGTAGGTCAGGTTGGTGGCCAGTGGACTTGTAGCCGACATGGTAACCTCTGACTGTGACTGGTAGGTCAGTGTTGTAGTACATACCAGTATATCAGGACTCGCGATGTGTGAGTGAGGTGTCCGTGACACCCCAGCCGACAACCTGACTGCCGTGTTGTACTGGTAACCTCTGACCAGTGCCTGGTAGGTCACACCCCAGTGTAACCTCTGACTGACTGGTAGCAGTGTTGTAGCACATACCAGTATGGACTAGCGATGTGTAGTGTGGCACTAACACTTGTTTTCCTGACACTGTAGACTCTGGAAGAGGTAAGCCAAGTGTTTATTGGTTGTTTCTCTTGTGTTCTCACCCACCTCGTCTTGGTAGATAGATTGGGAGCTTTGTCTGTGTTGGGTGGAGAGGAATTGTCCCATTAGTAACATTTTTGAAAAGTTGCTTCCAAGTTTAGATAAGCTTGACACTAACTTAATGCTAGATGGTCGAGGGATAGTTATCTGAGATTTATGGGAATATAAATTATCAAAGGAACATTTTGTTCTTCAGTGTCATATATTTTATGAAAAATACACCTGATGTCGTACATCAGTAATCTCTCGGTGAAAATTATTTCTGAATATGAGGTTGAAGCAACATGTTCCTGGAAATATTTTTTTTACCATCTGATTTATAGACACATGCTAGGAGGATAGATAACCATGTCAATCAAATCTATACATGTTTCAGTTTTCCCACTCGGGTTAGATTATGGTGATCGGTGTACGGATAACTGCCCACAATACAAAACACTGGTTTATCCAGACTCTAAAGCCATCTAAAGCTGGAATACTAGAGCAGTACTGAACAAAAAAACAAAACTTCATTTCAACATTGAACACCCTGAATGAATTTCTTCCTCAATTTCAGTTTTTCTTTCATTTTCATCCTATTCAGTTTGGTATTCTGTTTAAACCCCAATTAAACAAACTTAGAAGTGTTAGTTATTTTATTTGGTAGTAAGGAACCAACTATTTGTCCAATGTTTCGTTAGATTCCTTGGCATGCTCTCCATATGGGTTTTAAAGAGATTTCAGGGGCTCATTTTGAGCTGGTTAGGCTTTCATGTGATGTTTTCTGTCTGCAAACTTGACATCATGGACAAAGGATGTATGTATGTTTGTGGAATGATGCAAATTTGTCCAGAACTGATCTCTTTCTAGGTAAATGTATTATGTTAAGATAAAGTGTGCTGTTACTTGTCTTAAAGTGGGTAATTGTGTTTGTCGTACCATTGTTTGTTGTGTGCTATTGTTTTGCGTGTGCGCCAAGCTGCATTGTCTCCATGATCTCCCTCTGTGTTCTTGTTCAACACCTAACAAGGGAGATAACTTACATGAATGCACATCATTTCCAGTGTTTGCTTTAGGTTGCTACTGATAAACGTGAGAGCCAACTGTTTTTTTGTTTGTAACCAAAGCTATTTAAATAGGATTTGCTGGTACACAGAATTTCACCCGGTCATAGACGTCTATGATTTCACTCTGAGAGATTCGACATGTTGATCTTGACTGCAACATATCTCAGCAGATGTTACTATAGTTATTGATAATGTTAAGGCTTTGCAGAGGTGAATTCTATTTTACTGATAATGCTTGTAAGAAGACCAGCGTTGATCAAGAGACTGCCAGACTTTCCTTTACATTATTGCATCAAGTGCAATGATAGAATTCTTCTGAATTTATGTAAAGAAATTACTGAAAACAACCCCAGTTTTGAACAAGATAGCTTGTTTTCCCCCAAAATCTTTTTGTCCCATTTTGCTATCGTTTGAAATGCTGAATAAATTCCCGTCATTAGGAAACAGCTCTATCTCTGTGGTTACCTATGAAATACTTTAACATTAAATCGACAACAGTTCCTCATGTGAAAAGTGGGTTATATTTCCTCAGAAAGCAAACAATGTTATGGAAACAGTCATTTGTAAAAAGGAATGAGACAAATTTGTTGTTATGAAATGATTGTTTGCAATAAGTTGTCTCCCTTTTTCAGTGTTCTCACTTGTCTCTATGTTAAATAATTGTGCACTTTCACGTGAAAATCAGACTCCTTTCCAAATATTTTGCAGGCTAATAGAGAGTCTTCAAAGGAAATTGATAGATTGAAAATGGATCTATATAAGGCAAAGTAAGTTTTTATATAATGATATGTACCATATTCACCATAATAAACACCCTGGGCACTTAGAAATAGAAAGGTTCAGACATTATGATAATAGTATCTTGTCAGTAATTGAGTCCTACCATGTTGTACTCTGCTGTTAGGAACAAGTAAGAAAGGAAATACAGATATATAAAAGTTTGCCAGAATGTTCAAAACCTAAAGGTCCAATTATGTTGTAGTTATATAAAGCATCTGTATTATTAAACATAGTAAATGCATTCAATGAAGTTTTTATGAAGTGTAACGCTTGAAGCAAACATGATAAAGGACTTGCATATTTTTTGCCATTTAGATTGTTAACATGTCTTGTTATTTCAGTAAATCCAAAGAAGAATTTCAACAGCAGAGTTCTGAACTCTCGGAGAAACTCAGTGCAAAGGTATTTTAAATAATATGCCTGGGATGTATCTTGCTGTTACAAATACCTGATAGATTCCCTCATCTTGATGTTCTGATGACAGTCTTGTAGGCCTTCTTCAGAAGAGCAGCTAAATGAAGGCAATACTGATTATAGGTTTATTATCAAACTGTTTCTCATTGTCAGTCTTTCTCATTGACCATATTATCATTGTTTATACTATCCTTTCAGGGGCATTGGGGTAGCCTAGTGGTTAAAGGGTTCTCTCGTCACGCCGAAGGCCTGGGTTTGATTCCCCACATGGGTACAATGTGTGAAGCCCATTTCTGGTGTCCCCCGCCGTGATGTTGCTGAAATATTGCTAAAAGCGGCGTAAATCTATATTCACTCACTACTGTCCTTTCATGTAGCATGTGTAGTGTCCAACATGCTGATAATTGTCAGAGATAAACATTAACATACTCTTTGCAGTTCTCATGTTCAGACTGTACATGGGCTTCGAAGCCAAGTAGGCAGATGTTGTTGTTGTTTGTCATGGTCGCCAAGGCCATTGATACATGAATTGTGTATAGTTCTGTGCGCCAGTATTGCTTCTCTCTGCAGCAGGACTTTTAAGGTTTTTCTTTTGTTGATATGTTTTGAAGATGTTTTTCTGTTTGGATCCAGGTTGGAGAATATTCAAGCCTTGAACAAACTGTTGCAGAGTTGAGGAAACGACTAGAAATGGCCGAGCTCTATGCACAACAGGTAGGACTGATACACATCACAAAGGTTCATCCTTGGTAGTTTCAGCAACGTACACATTCAGGGTGATAGGTAACCATGTGCTTACAGTGTTGGTTCCTAAAGAGATCTAGGTTTTTCTTTACCAGCATAGTTACAAAAGTCCTGATGCAGCAGCAGAACAGGACCAACTCACCTATCCCATATGTCGGGGAACAAAACATGGAGGTCCTGTCATTTCTGGTTTGGTGCTGTATTTGAATTCTTATCCTCTTTGGTCTAGTTGGTGGACTCCGTGGTGTAGTGGTTAGAGCGTCCGCCCGGAGAGCGGTAGGTCGCGGGTTCGATCCCCGACCGCGTCATAAAGACGTCAAAATATGGTACTTGTTGGTCCCTGCCTGGCGCTCGGCATTAGTGGGTACAACAAGGACTGGTCGGCTCGGAGTCAGTATAATGTGTCTGAGTGGGGTATTCATGCTTCACTGCGGCATGGTACCTCAGTGGGCTAGCACTATAAAACCAGCTTAAGTCTGGGCTAGTACAAGCAGCTGCACATACACATACACACGCATGCATGTTGTCATATGAGCGAAATATTCTCAAGCACGACGTAAAACCCAATTTCACCTCACCTCTAGTTGGTGGAGCTTCAGCCTGGAGAGAGGAAGGATTGGGGTTTAAATCCCAGAAAATGGTACTCTAGAACATGGTACATGTTGTTACCCTGCCTTTTGTTTGGCATTAAGGGGTGGAAACACGCACTGATCACCTCAGAGTCGGCTTACTATACTGAGTGGGGTGACAGTGTTTTGGAATGGTGTCTCCGTGGCAAGTTAACTTACCACATATTTAGTCTGGGGGTTTTGAGAAAGATCCCTTTGATTCCTAACACTAGACTGTGTGTATTGATTGTTCATTAGCCTGTTTCTTGGCATAGGTATATTTTCAGCAATAACTGTCACCTTATACTTATAGCTTGAATATTGCTGAGTGTGGCATAAAATTAAATTCACTCACTCTCTCATATCAGCGATACTGTTGCAAGAACAGATGTTAACAACATTCTGATTGTTTTTCAGCTTTCAAATGAAAGTGAAACTTCCAGTGGGTCGGTGAAAGTGGTGGAGCAGTTGCAGGTCGAGAGGGACACATTGATAGCCAAAATCCACCAGTATGACGAATCGTTCCATAAAGTGGCGGCTGAGCGGGACCAGATATCAGAGCAGTACAGGCAGTACACGGAACAGCTGCAGCGACAGAGCCAGGAGCTCTCACAACAGGTGGGTGTACACTCACACACCATGCCTCGCCACAGCAAACACCACCGATATACACCACATTACATGCCACGCCACGCCACGCCATGCCGCGCCACGCCACGCCATGCACACCACACCACACCACACCACACCACACCACACCACACCACACCACACCACACCACACCACACCACACCACACCACACCACACCACACCACACCACACCACACCACACCACACCACACCACACGCCACGCCACGCCACGCCACACCACGCACCGCACACAGTAGCAGTGGAACAGCTCCCAACAGTGTCGCCCTGGGGATTCCAGGAATGAGGAGTTCTTGCTTGTCTGATTAAAGAGGACCAAATGGGCAAATCTGAGACTTGCTGATTGTGTGTCGTCATACCAGATCAGGAAGATTGATGTTTCATGGTCCTGAGTATCACATGCTGATGGTGTGGTTGACATATTGCTGACTGTGACTGCACCACTTGAGAGAGAGCTCACTAAAGTGCTTATGAGAGTCTTCTACAGTGACTCTGCAAAGGGACAATTGAAGTCAAGATTGTCTGCTTGTTTTCTTCTAAATTACAATCATGTCATATTTTAAATAAGTCACTGTTGCCTTTCCAGTGAATTGCAAAAGTTATTTTTGTGAACAAGAAAAGTTACACGCCAAATGAAAAATTGAAATCAGGAGAACTTACATGCATACGTGTGCAAAAATCTACATGCAAGTATTTAAGCTATTTGACATGCAAGTATTTAAGCTATTTGACGTTCCTGTTATTGTAATGTTGAATGCCTCCACCTGCCTGTGTCCAGGTGTCCACCATGGTGGAGGAGCGGGAACAGCTGCTGGCCAGACAACATCACCTGGAATCATCTGCACTGGAGCTGCAGAGGAAGCTGGGTATGTATACGTCTCACTCAGGTTTGCCATGCTATTGTGTGTCTCATCTTATGTGGAATTAACCAAGCAAGTCTTCAAAATCAAACAGACCCATGAAGATACGAGTTAGAACTGATTTTCAGCAACCCATGCTTGTCGTAAGAGGCGACTAATGAGATCGGGTGGTCAGGCTCACTGACTTGGTTGACATGTCATTATCCCAGATGCGTAGATCGATGCTCATGCTGTTGATCACTGGATTGTCAGGTCCAGACTCGATTTTTTACAGACCGTCGCCTTATAGCTGGAATATTGCCGAGTGTGACGTAAAAAAAAAATTCACTCACTCGCTCAAAATCAGACTAAAACAGTGGCAGTTGTTACAATAGTTAAAGTATGGTGGAATCTGCTTAGGGCGTGAAATGTGACAGAAGTCAGAGTTTATTTTTTGTTTGAGGGATAAGAAATATTTTAATATTTGGCACATTTCCACAGAAATATATCTAGTTGTGACGTCATATATTTTGCGTCTCAGTGAGCGGTCTAATGTCAGAACCGTCTGTCGTTGGGCACTGTGTTGTGGCTACACCTTTTAAGGTCTGCTTGATGCTTTTTAGATGGTTTCAGTCAACGATTTGATTTCAAGAAGTGGGAAAAGAAGCACTGATGATTTTTTTAATGAATAAGATTTGGTTGATGTTGTCATGTTGCGCACAACAAACCTCTGCGCTGAAAAGACAATATGTGTATTCAGTGTTTTTTTTACGGAGTATGAATGTGAAAAGGCCGTATTGCTCATGTTGAAAGTTGCACAGGGTCACTCGCATCAAATGCCACAGAACACTATTCAAATACCATATAGATACCATTGAGAAGGCCTTGATAACTCATGGATCCTCTTAAACATTTTAAGACACCTAACTGTCTCTTTTCCCCTCTTTTTCCGACATGACAATGAAATAGTACAGTGGTTATAACTATTGTTCAAGCATTGGCGTTTGTATTTCAGAGGAGGCAGTGGTGGCTGAGCGTCCGGTGCAGGAGAGTGTGTCAGCTGATGTACCAGAGGAGCTGGAGAGGTTGAGATCCGAGTACCAGGAGCTGACGGATAGACATGAGGCGCAGGTCAGGGACAACGCTCAGCTCAGTAGGTGAGTAAGAGGTCTGAGGAGAGACTTTTGTATTTTTTTTATCTTTCATGGTTAGTTTGGTCCATGTTCATATTGGCTTCACTGTGTAGTTACTTTACTTATAGGGGTCTAGTGGTTAAAGCGTTCGCTAGTCAAGTGTAAAACACGGGTTCAACACGTCCCCTTCCCACGTGACTGTCACAATTCACTAGTTTCTTATGTTCTGCCTATGTGAGGTGAGGTGAAATTGGGTTTAACATCGTGCTTGAGAATATTTCGCTCATATGACCACATGCATGCGTGTGTATGTGTATGTGCAGCTGCTTGTACTAGCCCAGACTGAAGCTGGTTTTATAGTGCTAGCCCACTGAGATACCATGATGCAGTGAAGCATGAATACCCCACTCAGACACATTATACTGACTCCGAGCCGACCAGTCCTTGTTGTACCCATTAATGCCGAGCGCTAGATAGGGACCAACAAGTACCATATTTTAAGGTCTTTTGGTATGACGCGGTCAGGGATCGAACCCGCGACCTTCCGCTCTCTGGGAGGACGCTCTAACCACTACACCACGGAGGCGGTCCTCTGCCTATCTACTGCTATGTATCTGAAGCTATGCTATGATTGCTGCAGGTTTCTGGAGGAGAAGGAGGACCGGATCTCAGAGCTGGAGTCGACAGTTAACACCCTTGGGGAGGAGGCTGGGGACAAGGCTCAACTCCTGGAGAACATACAGAGTGACAAGACAGCTCTTAGTCGCGCGCTGACTCAGAACAAAGACCTCAAGCAACAGCTGGCTGAACTGCAGAGTGGCTTCGTCAAACTGGTGAGACTTCTATAGGACCTTGTCAAACTGTCTAGAGGACCTGACTTAACAATTACAACATTGCGTGTAGGATTTGTCTGATTTCATGTTGGACAGCACTTAGCCTTGGATCTGTTCCATTGTACGAATCCCACTGTAATCAGAAATAGGTCCCAGCAGATGAGACCGTGAGATATAAGTGTTGGTTGTGTTTCAGAGCAACGAGAACATGGAGATGATGACCAAGCTACAGGGAGAGGAACACTCTGGCAACGAACTTGCTCAGCGGCTGGCCCAGCAGGAGGATGAGATTAAGGACCTCAGAGAATCGGTGAGAATCTACATTTCATCACAGAGACAGTGTTCATTATTTTGTGCACTTACGAATGCAAGAATATATGAGGGAAGTCAGTTTTGGAAATCACTCTGAGGAAAATTCTTTTCTCCACCTTGCCATGTTCATATAAATTGTGCCTTTGTTGTCCCCCGCCGCAACGCGTAACGGGGGACTATGTATTCAGCGGCGTCCGTCCGTCCGTCCGTACGTCCCGATTCTTGTTAAAGCGATATCTCATGAACTGTTGTACCCAATGTCTTCAAATTTGGTGACAGCCTACATTGGGTGATTGCGCAGACACCAGTCGATTTGGGTGACCTTGACCTTGACCTTATTTTCAAGGTCACCACGACACTTTGACCACTTTTCAAACTTGTTAGCGTGATATCTCATGAACTGTTGTACCCAATGTCTTGAAATTTGGTGACAGCCTACATTAGGGGATTACAAAGAGACCAGTTTATTTAGGTGACCTTGACCTCATTTTCAAACTCTTTTTGAACACTTTCCAAACTCTTTTTAACACGGCGTCTAATGGACTGTTGTACCAAATGTCTTCAAATTTGATGACAGCATACATTGGGGGATTACGCAGACACCAGTTGATTTTGGGTGACCTTGACCTTATCTTCAAGGTCACCACGACACTTTTCACACTTTTAACTCTTGTTAACGCGATATCTCATGGACTGTTGTACCCAATGTCTTCAAATTTGATGACAGCATACATTGGGGTATTACACAGACACCAGTTTATTTGGGTGACCTTGACCTTATCTTCAAGGTCACCACGATACTTTGACCGCTTTTTTAAACGCGATATCTCATAAAACATTGCACCCAATGTTTTCAAGTATGTTGACAGCCTACATTGGGTGATTATGCAGACACCAGTCATTTCAGGCATCGTGTATGTGACCCAATGATAAAAAGTAGTAAATATAGATATTCCATTCTTTAGCGGCGGGGGACATTGCCACATCAGTGGCAAACACTTGTTCTGACTGTTTGTGGGGTGGTGGGGTAGCCCAGTGGTTAAAGCGTTGGCTCGTCACGCCGAAGACCCGGGTTCAAATCCCCACATGGGTACAATGTGTGAAGCCCATTTCTGGTGTTCCCCGCCGTGATGTTGCTGGAATATTGCTAAAAGCGGCGTAAAACCAAACTCAGTCAGTCAGTCAGTCTGACTGTTTGTGAAATGACACAAAGAAATTGCTTCTGAGCTGTGAATTGTTTGTTGCAAGATAACTTTAGTCATAATATTTATGTGATAGTATTGAATGTTTAAGTAATGATGTGTTTTAGTTTATAAGATAATTGTTCATAACTTGTTCAATGTTTTCTGTGACTGTCAGACTACTCTCGATGTAGTGTTGCTCTGTGACTGTCAGACTACTCTCGATGTAGTGTTGCTCTGTGACTGTCAGACTACTCTCGATGTAGTGTTGCTCTGTGACCGTTACACTGACTGTGACGACGATGTGTTGCAGGTGAGCAGCAAGGACCGTGAGTTGTCTGAGCTGCAGAAGGTGGTGTCCATCTCCCAGAGGGAGGAGTACCAGCAGGACCAGATCCAGGACAGGCTGCGGCACTACGAGGCCCAGGCACAGCTGGTCGACACCCTGCAGAACGAACTCACGTCCGCACAGGTGGGTCACTCACTAACACTGGTTGGTCTAAATGGTCGGTTGTAGCATGTCATCACAGGGATTTATCTAGACCTGCTCAGAGCCCAATACACAACTCAAAGTCAGCAGCAAATGGCAGTACAATTTCCCTAATTGGATGGAAAAAATTACAATGTTATTTTCACCAATAGAAGGAAAGTATGATTTATCTCTACAGTGAAACAGTGAAGGCATCGCCACTGTTCTAAAACTGAATTTAAGAAATGCAGATTTCAAATTTGAACCTTGTTTGGAATCCTAGATAAGTTGCTCCACCTGAAGGTCAATATCTTGCAGTGCTTTAGGCTTCAGCATATCGAGAAGCATGGCAATCTGTGTGTCCCGACATTGTTTTTGTCCCTGTAATTGTGCATGGTATCCGTTGTGCATGTTCAACTGTATGTCAACTGTATGACAGACCTCCCAGCATGGTGCATGAATTACCTCACTTTACGTCTCATCCTCAGAATGTCTGTCACCTGTTGTCATGTCAAGTATATGACCGACCTCCCCAGCAGCATGCATGATTAACTCGTCCATCTTGCCCTCAGAATGTCTGTCACCTGTTGTCATGTCAACTATATGACCGACCTCCCCCTTGCCCTCCCCCTTGCCCTCAGAATATCTGTTCCCTGTTGCCTGTGGTTTACGTTGTTATGAGTGATTGCTGCAACTGTTACCACAAGTACACCGTAATGAACAATACTTAGCACCAAACCGTTCAACTTTGTTGCTCTCAGCTGAGAATGTGTCCGTGTCCAGCACACTCACTTTTCATTATCATGAGGTGAGGTGAGGTGAAATGGTTTATCGTCGTGCTTGAGAATATTTTGCTCGTATGACGACATGCATGCGTGTGTATGTGTATGTGCGGCTGCTTGTACTAGCCCAGACTTAAGCTGGTTTTATAGTGCTAGCCCACTGAGATACCATGCCGCAGTGAAGCATGAATACCCCACTCAGACACATTATACTGACTCCGAGCCGACCAGTCCTTGTTGTACCCATTAATGCCGAAGCGCCAGGCGGGGACCAACAAGTACCATATTTTAACGTCTTTTGGTATGACGTGGTCGGGGATCGAACCCGCGACCTTCCGCTCTCAGGGCGGACGCTCAAACCACTACACCACACGGAGGCGGTTTCATTATCATGAAAACATTGACACAGATGATGATGATAATGGTGGTACAGCTGCAAACTTAAAGCAAGTGCATCTGATGAGTGAGGAAGTTTGGTTTAACACCAGTTTTAGCAGTATTCCAGTTATATCATGTCTTGTCAGTTTATTGAGGGAGGAAAGCCTAGTGACACAATCCACAGACATTTACCACTTTGGTGAAACCTGAGCACAGATATAGTGCTTAGAAACTGAGAGATATTATCAGGGCAATGTGGGATTCAACAACCTGTGATCATAGGTTTCCAGCATGCCCAAGGGATGCATCTCTGGCAAACTGCAGTGTCTCAGAAAGTAGGCCAACTTATGATGAAGAATTTGACCTGCCTTCACGTTGCCCCTAGTGATGGTACAAACGCTAACTTAGAGCAGGTGTTCATGCATGTGTACTTCTGGTTTTAAGCGCCTGAAAGAGGAACGTTTGGTAAGCCTGTCACTAATTTCACCCACAACACATCTTGTACTTTCTGTTTGGGAGTTCCCATAGGGCTTGTTGCCTTGTGGTAAATAACTGTTTTTACGGTTTTATGCGAACAGTATCATGAAATGAATATGAAGCAAATTCGCACCTTTCATTGTATCATTTACTGTGATTACTGTACTATGGGAACTCTTCATCTCTTCTTTTCTCAATTCATCCCTGCTATGTCAGCAGTTTACTTATGTGTGCAACTAACCCTGGTTCTTCTGTCAATATTAACTCTGTATACAAACACATGTAATTGCTGAATTTATTACCCACGAGGTCAACGTATGGGTAGTTGCATACTAATCTCGTACGTCACACGAGTGTCGTATCGCGTTGACCTGTGTCATAACGACTTGACCTGAGATTCTAACGATTTGATTGGATAACCGATGACCTCTCAATTAGGTCACATTCTGACGTAACTATTTTTTCATTCATAACAAACACGTGAATTCATTCATTCTACAACTTAAATGCATTGTGGGAATGTAAACATTGTGAACGTTGCCGTGTCGCTGTTTAATTGTGAGTCGAACTGAGACATTATGTCCGTCTAAAAACATAAACGCAGTGTTTCCACCCAGTGATGTTAGCCGAATATAGCAACTGGAAACCAAGAAACGAGGTGCTATGGAGTAGTTTACTGTAGGAGGCTGTACGAGGCGATGACAACTGACATGCATCGTGACGTCCGTTACCAAGGCAGTGACGTCATTACAGTGTGACGTCATTACAGTGTGACGTCATGCAAATATTGTACTACAGTACAAAACTCTTCCGCAACCTCTTTATGAAACCGGTTTCGGTTTGAAACCAAAAACATAACAAAAATACGCTATTTTGTCAATTTAATGCATGTAAGACATGGGTAATAAATAAAATACCACACTCGGTCTCATTACATACGAAACGAGTGTCCTTCCTATGGTATCTGACCTATATATTTTGCACTTCTATTGTAGAGCTGTGTGTTCAGTCTTTCTGCATTCCATGGAATGTAGCATCACCTACAGCTTTAACAATTTCTACAGCTTCCAGAGTAGAAAGTGTGCCTATTAATTCATAACATGTTTTGAAGCTTTTCACAGTGTGAACATGCAGTACACCTAGACTATCATGATAATCATACCCAGCTTATAATTAATTGATTAAAGTTCCTTTCACTATTTGTGTGTGTATCACTATTTTGACAAACTATACTGGCACATTTAAGGAAACACTGACATAGCAGTGAGGGGTATTCCAGGGCATCAGTTCTTGACCATGGCTCTTCCCAGGCAGATAATTTTGTGATCATTGGACATGTTTTTTGTGGAGTTAGTTTTCTGTGTTCTTGCACACATTTTCTATTTTACATTTGAAACTTGGAAAATTTTTAGTGGTCTTCTTTGCCATGTATCATATGAACCTGGCTTTTATATGAGATATTACTGGGGTGAGATCATGTGATATCTCATAAGAGTTATTGCTGGAATGAAATTACACTACAATACTTTGCAGGTCATTGTGACCTCCTAGGTTGCCATGACATTGCTGTTCTCTGCCACTGAAGACACTGTTTATTAATGTTTATTTTAAAGTAAAGAAGATTAAAGAATGATTTTAGATGATAAATATAATCTCACCAGAGTGTCCTTAGGCATCAGATATATTAAAAAAAAGTTGAAAACTACTCACATTCTAGAGTTTTGGACATTTATCAATTACCCTTTTTGATGTCTTACACATCAAAAGACCTGATGGAAGATTCTCCAGATATGAGGCTTTCTTTAGTCTATATTTAGTGCTTCTGGTGTCAACATTATGATGTTTTCTTATCAGTTTTTACGTTTAGTAAGACATGGGAAACATCTCACTGCTGATTCATGACAATTGGGTAGATTGATGTTCATGCTGTTCATCCCTGGATTGTCTGGTCCAGACTCGATTGTTTACAGACCGCCGCCATATAGCTGGAATATTGCTGAGTGCGGTGTAAAACCAAACTCACTCACTCACTCACTGATTCATGATTTATTCTGCTGACTCAGCTGGCTTTGTGGGTCAGTTATGTTTTTAAAGTGTATATACTGAGGCATTCTTAACACCAACCATACTAACTGTGATACATTATCTTCATAATCTCATTGTCATGAAGTGTAAGATGTAATTCTCACACTGAGAACTAAAGCTGCCATGCTTATAAAGTTCATCAGATGGATGCAATGGTTGCCAAGTGTGGTCACTGGTTTTGATGGGTGACCAGTGTTTGGTTGTGACAGTGTAGACTTATGTCATAATGGTGTACATCATGGCGGATATCTCTACAGACTTCAGGGCTTGTGTGTGTCGTCTGGGGTGCCACAAATTGATATATAGATGTACAGAGTTGCATCTTACAGGGCTTCAAGAATCATATGATCACAAATTGCCTTTATTAGTATTCTTGGTTTGTCAGTACCAAACTGCCCTCATTCAGTTCACCAGAGTGTTAAATGCTGGCATAATACATCACTTTGGGCCTTCTTCTTATTGTATGAACTTACAAAACTGCTAAATGAACACCTTTCCACTGAACCTCACAGCTGATCTTGACCAACTTCAACACATATCATGATAAATTCTCTTAGTATGAGGGTTCATGCCTCGATCAACAATAGTTGAGTGTGAAACAGTTTCAGTGTGGCAGCATGATTGATATTAATATTTCTAGAGAGTTGACCTTGGAGTGAGTTTGACCTTAGGGACCGTTCCTAATTTATGGCTAGGGGGTGATGATTTTTTTTTGGTGTATGTGGGGTGGGTGGGGGTGTGTCACCCATTTTCTTCTGGGGAGCTGGGGGTCAGCAATTTTGTACACACATACTAGGGGAGGGGATCAGCAATTTTGTACATAATATGTTTAAAATTATGCTTAGAAATTATGGGAAAGGGAGGGGGTCATTGATTTTGTACATGACATGCAAGGGGGGTCACTTATTTTGTACATGATTTTATTTTTTATTTTTTTTTTATTTTATTTTATTTTATTTTATTTTATTTTTTATTATTTTTATTTATTTATTTTATTTATTTTATTTTATTTTATTTTATTTTTTATTTTTTATTGGGGATGGGGGGGGGGGAGAGTGTTCACTTATTTTGTACATAAATTTTAGGGGGGGTCATTCACATTGTACATGCTTCTCCATAAAAATCATCACCACCACCCCAGCCATAAATTATGAACAGTCCCTAAGTTATAAGAAAGTTGAACCCATTATGTGCATATTTGCAATGGCTGGTGCAAAAGCTATGTTTTAGGTCTTTTATGCACAAGGTGGCTTGAAATGTGCAGATGTCAATCCTTGCTGACTATAAATGTCTCTTTCTTTCCCAGGACATGATGGATGCCTTGACAACACAGAACCGTGAACTCCGTGCCATGCTCATCAAGGCCACTGAGGTCAAGGCCAACTCTGAACATTCCATTGATGACCCAGAAAATGAATCCAAGAGAGACAGTCTGGTTAGTTTCCTTGTTTTTCTGAGCACCATCCTTCACCTTGTAAAAGCCTGCTAGTTGATAACTGAAAAGTTAGGAGCAGTGAGCTGGTGGCATGGAACCGCCACTGTGGTGTAGTGGTTAAAGCGTCTGCCCGGAGAACAGAAGCTCGTGGGTTCGATCCCTGGCCGCGTCATACCAAGAGATGTTAAAATATAGTACTTGTTGGTCCCAGCCTAGCACTCTGCATTAATGGGAATAATTGTGACTGTGGCATTTAATAACATTCTCTCACTTGACTAATTTGACACAGGGGAATGCAGCTGTTCTTTCTTCTGTTCCAGATGGGGTCTCTACAGTCAACCATCCACCAACTGGAGAGTGAGCGAAGTCAGCTTGTGGATAACCTCCGAGAACAGAGGGACCTTCCGGACAGCCTCGGGATCAAGGTCGCCGATCTACAGGAGGAGATTCTTAGGAAAAGTGAGGCCTGCTTCGATGTGAAATATTTGTTTTAAGATTGCTCAATTGTAGGAGTTTCTCGTTCACCACAGTTTTACCGGTTGACATATAAATGTCAACTACTAAAAGTAACAGGTGTGATAGGTCAGATTTGGAGAATTCTAGTTATTCGAATGTTTGTTTTTGTTACTTTAAGTTTATTGCTCACTTCAGTAGAGCAGAGTAATTTTAATATATATTTTTAATAAATTTAAATAAATATTGATATGATACCTTACTTCTCATTTTCAGCTCAAATGAATTTTGAAAACGACATCATCACAAGAGCAGATTATGACCAGTTGAAGACAGCTCTGGAGATGATTCAGGTGATGATTAAACATAAAAATCCTACATATCAGTGTACGTTGTATTGTATTAATTTGCCAAAGAACATAGCAAAATCCCAATGAATGATATCAACTCAATATATATGTATGCTCAGTGAAGTAGCATAGTTTTGCTGAGAAAAGTCAAGCCTTGGCAGTCAATGACAGCTTAGTCCGGAGCACACTACAGGGGTTAAAGGGCCAGCATGTCAACTGTTCTGAAGTATTGTTTGCAAACAATAGCCAAGAACACCCCAGCTTTCTTCGTATAGCGTGCCTTATTCCATGAGAGAACTCTCTGCTCCAGTAATCCCACTGTAGCTGATCAGGACGGCCATCATTTTGAGAATTGTTTCTGGAACATGATTGGTGTCATATGACCAAGGCTTTTATATTGTCATCAAGGCTGTGATAAACACTAGCTGGCATTCCAATCTCACTGGGGGTACAATGTGTGAAGCCCATTTCTGAAGTCCCCAGCCGTGATGTTGCTGAAATATTGCTAAAAGCGGCGTAAAACCAAAACTCAGTCAGTCAGTCAGTCCAATCTCACTGGCAATAAATATATTGTATCTCATCCCAAAGAAAAACACACAAGCGTTGCTCCAGTTTTGCCACTTTGTAAAACATGATTGATGCTTTTTTTTTAGTTGAATGCTTTGGTCGTCTGCTTGGTTATGCAGTCTATGGTTGTTTTGTTTTGAGAATTGAATGTTGAGTGATCTGAAAATTTTACATCACTCTCTACAAATGTTTCAAGAATAGTTTGAAAACAACCAGAACCATCCAAGTCCGAGGCCTTTAATCATTTTAATTCTGGTGTTGTATAGTACTTTAAAGGGTCATCCAGTCTATCATCTGATGCATATTGGGCGGTGGGGGTAGCCTAGTGGTTATAGTGTTCGCTCGTCACGCTGAAGGCCCGGGCTCGATTCCCCACATGGGTACATGTGTGAAGCCCATTTCTGGTGTCCCCTGCCGTGATGTTGATGGAATGTTGCTATAAGCGGCGTAAACCATACTCACTCACTCACTCTGATGCATATTGTACACATGGATTTGTATCTCCAGGATATTTCTCTGAACCAAAACATCTTTCTGCAACAAATTATGTTTTCTAGAATGAGAAGCTACTGATGGTTTGTTCGGATAGTTGAAAGTGTATTTGTGGTGTTTCAGGATAAGTATTCTCGTGTGATGAGAGACAAGGCGGAGTTGACGGACAAGGCAGACATGTTGGAGCACATGGTGACTCAGCTACAAGGGGAGACGGACACTATAGGTGAGCATACATGCACCCCTCAGATGAACAGTGCAGACAGTTTGTTGTACTGCTAGAACAGGTTCACTTGTTGAAGGGCCTTAATATCGGGATATGTTGCAAGGACAAACTTGACAGTCCTTTGCATTGAAAGATAAATACTAAAACACTCATCGATTCATCTATGTATAAGAACCATATATACTCATGGAAACGAATAAGGGAACACATGAAAGTACGTAAATCATGTAAATCTTCACTCACTCACTCACTCACTCATGTGTACATTTAATAGGTGTCATCATTGATAGACGTTGTAAGTGTGTAATAATAAGCTGTGAGAACAATGGCTAAGTACAATGTATGTAATGAAAATTTCAGCTATTGTGAGGAAAACACTTTGTGGAGAATGTAGATATACTGCTTCAGTATTTGGCCTCCAGAAGGTGCTTGTCTGCTGTGAGCTCAGTGATGTTCTGTGTTTGTAGGCGAATACATCTCCCTGTACCACCACCAGAGGGCACTGCTCCAGCAGCGGGAACATCAAAAGAATGATTACATCACCCAGCTGGCCAGGGACAGAGAGGAGATGCAGGTATGAGTTATTCACAGGTTGACTTTACTGGAGCACCATGGATGGGAAAATCAGCAGAGGCCACTGAGCATGTATTTGACTGTATGTTTGGTACATGTATTGCTGGACCAGCTCATGGATGTATTTGACTGTATACATCTGACCTGTATTGCAGGGTAAGCTCGGCCAGCTCCAGGCCTTGGTGATGCAGCTTCTGGGGGAGAGGAACATGCTGCACAGCTACACCGAGGAGGCCTCGCGACCCGCCGACAACTCCGACCTCGAGCAGCATCTCAACTCCTCCATTTCACACAAACAGGGCCACAAACATCACCATCATCATAGGAGTGCGATGACGAATGGCGTCGACAATAACTATGGTAAGCTGGGGGTCTTAAAAGTTAATAAGTTAATAAGCTGTTCTTGGATGTTTACCTTACTCCGTATCAAGAGTATTGCAATTGCAGTTAAAATGGACTACAATTATTTTTTATACTAAATCTAAACTTTTTATACTGCAAACCTTTGCTTATCCCCTGTATTTGAAGCTTTGATATTGAAAAGATCTACATCGCTAGGTTTCATTTGATTCTGAAGTGTGAAGATCCAGATTCTAACTGATCTTCAGCAATCCATACTTGTCATTAGAGGAGACAAACAGGTTGGGCTCACTGGCTTGGTTGATGCATGTCATGTTCCGATTTCATAGATCGATGCTCATGATATCAGTCACCAGATAAACTGTCCAGGCAGCAATAGGTGGATTATCGCAGAGTGCGGTATTATACAGACAAATCATTTGATTCTGTCTTAATTTTCTGTCTTCATGAGAATGCCATGACTTCAAGGAGTACTTGAGTGTTGCAGCATCAGTTTGTGCCAGAAACTTATTTGCTTGGAGTTGAAATTAGTGGTTTTGTATCATTTTATGTGGATTTTGGTGTTAATGTTTGGATAAGAATTAACTATTCTCATTAGAAATGAAAAGATGTTCACTGGCATGAGAAATGGCTATGGTTATAGGCAGTTGTATAGACTTCATTTTCATCATTTTTCTGTTCTTTCTGTTAGAGTGGCCCGACTACACAAGTTCAGAGAGCGACAGTGAGAGTGAAGTGGAACCCATAGTGGGTGGAACCCATGACACCGACTCGGTCACACCCACTGAAGAAATCAACCAACCAATGTTAACTGATACTCCATCCCCCGACCAATCACTATCCGCAGAGAACACAGACATGAATATTCATGAGGAACATCATGCACATGTCACCAAACATATGCATCGAACTCTTCCTGAGGAGGACCAAACCGCACACCGAATTCTTCATTTACTGTCAGAAATCGGCCATTCCAATTTGGTGGAGAAGGCGCCTTTCACGGAAAGGAACTTCCTACCATGCAAGTTCTGCCAAGGGCCAATCCATATTGTTTAACAGATGTACAATCTATGTAGATATGTACATAAACTGAATGATATTGTATAGACACGACGACTGGGTTGGGGTATGCTGGAAACCCACGCCACTAAACTACCTGCTTTGTTTGTGAGGAGCAGACTCAATAACCATGCCTTGACTAACAAACTGACCATCTCAGCGTTGTCCGAGTGTCGGACCAGACTACAGGAATCTCTGGGAATGGTCTGAGGAGCAGCATGTGAATGTGTGTGGTGGTGATCTTCCGGATTTAGGATGGACTGAGTATTAGAAGTCTTGTTATTAAATCTGAATAATCGTGTGTAATATACTGCAATACAACATGTTGTAAATATGTTACTACTAGGAGTGTCTGTTTAAAAACAGAATGTACTGATGCAGACTTTTAGCTCAGTGAAGATGTTTGACGGATGACTTGCGAGTAAAGTTACAGTTTTGCCCTGGTTGCCTCTGTCCGTGACCCTGCTTGGAGTGACATCATTCTGAAGTATGATCCTCTGACTGCCCTGTTCTCTCGTCCTTGTCAAGTTAGGGACACAATTATATGTCATAAAATATTGGGTGTGTCATAGATTTGCTTGGGAGGGCTCATGGCTTAAAATGTAATTGCTTTGAAGTTGTTATTGTCCTTGAACTGTCCATTTTAGACAAGAAGTTGTTATTTTGAAGGATACTTTTAGGCCACAAATACAAATCATTTCGACAGACTTCTGTATCAGGTGTCAGTTGATTTTACATCTTCAGATAGCTATGAATGAGACACTTCTTCCAAAAATCATAACTTATTATTGTTTTCTTAACTCGATCTTCACAGAATGATTCTCAGTGTAGATGCAACGTCTAGAAATCAAATACCTACTTTCTCATTTGGAAGAACTTGAACATTTTGTCCTATGATGGATGTATTCAGAAGCTGTTGTCCATGTATCTCCACAGTACTTGGTGGTCAGGGTTGCAAGCAATTATGTCATTGTTCATCTACCATCTAGTTACAGTGTAACCTGTGCACCTTGTACATTCTTCATGTGCTGTCATGAACAAGAAGGGGATGTTGTTGCTGTCATTCAAAGAGATCCGGGGTAGAATAGGTCTCCAGCAACCCATGCTTGCCACAAAAGGCGACTATGCTTGTCGTAAGAGGCGACTAACGGGATCGGGTGGTCAGGCTCACTGACTTGGTTGACACATGCCGTCAGTTCCCAATTGCGCAGATTGATGTTCATGCTGTTGATCACTGGATTGTCTGGTCCAGACTCGATTATTTACAGACTGCCGCCATATAGCTGGAATATTGCTGAGAGCAGCGTAAAACTAAACTCACTCACTCACTCACTCCTCACTCATTCAAAGAAGATGGTTCATGTGATGATGCAGTTCATTGTGCAGTTGCATCCCACTGGCATGCCACAATCGTTCGTTGTAATTCTAATTTAGCCTTTATACAGTTCTTGCTTTGTTGCAACACCTGTGGTGTCTCAGAGCTGCATCAGTTCCTGACCCATTACGTGGATACATCCTTATATCACTGAGAAATGTTCAAAGTTGCATTTACCCAATACCTCACTGTATCAGTGCATCTGTGTTCTGTCATCATGACTTGCAGTTGCACAGTCTCTGTGGGATGTAGAAATGCCTGAAACAACATATTTTCCTTTAATTGTTCAGTCTGTAAGGATGATCGTGTCAGCTCATCTGTGACTAATTTTGCAATAGGGATCCTTTCTGTCATCTCTTATGTTTCTGAAGTGATGCAGTGTCAACCCTGATGTTAAGGTTTTCTATACAAAACACCATTATTCCACAGCTCTTAATGTTGAGCACTGCCATGGCAACCAGCAAGACATGGTATGGATAACAGCCAGTAGGGTGTAAACATGGTTACTGATTCATAATCTCATTGTGGCCAACTTGGTTTTCTTTTTCAGTTTGATCACAGATTAAACAGCCATTTGTTGAGAACATGGTGACAGTGTATCCATGCTGACAGAGCTGCTTTTCATGTCTTGTTGCCGCATGTAGTAGATGACACTACAATGTTTTGTGGGGATGGTAGTTTCTTAAAGTCAAATATCATTGCTGACACTTCTGTGATGCTGTTGTTAAAGTCTGAACCAGATCTGTTGAAATCTGATTCTTTGATGTACATTGTACACTTGGAGTTGAAATGTCCACTTTGGTAATTGTATCATGCTGAAATTTCATCTTCACCTAAACATTAGTTTTGGTGTCATCAAATAGTCACCAGATCTATCTCCCCCACTGAGAGGTCTTGTGAATACTTCCATCCTAACCTACTTGACATCTGTCATCCCCAACCCCCATCCCCACAGGCATCCAAACCCCTCCCCAAATCAGCACCTCAAGGGTAGAAGGGAGTTACTAAGACAGTGCATGGTATAGCACAGGGGAAGCTGCAGCTAGGAGGACAACACCCTAACACTCAATGCCTCTGTTGTGCCCCCCAGGTTCCACTACATGGGCTGGCCTACAGTGTGTGTGAGTGTATTGTAGTGTGAGGTTGATCTTGTGCTGCTGGGCCCAGCACACAGTATTGAATACTGCTGCTTGAGTGAAGGCTGTGAGCTGATAATGGAGCCTGTTGGAGAGGAACTCCTCGTCTGTGATCTGTAGATTATTTTGTGTTTGTAGTCATTTTCTTTGTTAGTCGGACTGCATAAGAAAGCCCACTAGAACTGGAATCTAAACAAAATTGTAGATATGTTTCCACAAACCGTTCAGTTTGCTGCTGCTGCATAAGACAACTTCTGTGAAAAACTGAAAATGACCCTGTGAAGGAGAGGAATTCTTTACTTGAAGACATAATGGATGCTATGGTTCCGAAATGTTGGTTGGAGCAGAGTATTAGCCAAGTGTGACCACATGGCAGCCACTGTATGCTGTATACATGCTTACTTACACAAGTATCACTACATTCACTAACCTACAGTTACCTATCCCCATATTTGATCTCTTCCCTGAGAATGTGATTCTCAATTTCAATAAATAAGATGTACCAATAGTGCTTTTCAAACCCCTTTGCAATGTACTAAGCTTCTTGTTCATATTCATCTTAGCTGACAGCACTGTTCCTTTCGTGTTTTGATGATGATGATGATGATGATGATGATAAACCATCAACTAAATATTGATTATCTGTCTTACAAATAATCTTCATGTCATTCTGCCAGCAGTAATGGTATAATGCAGTTTAAGTATCCACTCACTCACTCACTCACTCACTCAATCACTTGTACTCATGCCAAAAACATTCTAAAGTATATGAAAGGTAGTTTCTTCAAATTAGGTGAAATTTGGCACTTTCGATATTTTGTGTTCAGTATGCCAAATTTTTTCCCCTGACCAATGTGTGATCTGTCAGAAATCGGCCATTCCAATTTGGTGGAGAAGGCTGCTTTCACGGAAAGGAACTTCCTACCACCATGCAAGAAGTTCTGCCAAGGGCCAATCCATATTAGTTTAACAGATGTACAATCTATGTAGATATGTACATAAACTGAATGATATTGTATAGACACTCGACGACTGGGTTGGGGTATGCTGGAAACCCACGCTACACTAAACTACCTGCTTTGTTTGTGAGGAGCAGACTCAATAACCATGCCTTGATTCAACAAACTGACCATCTCTCAGTTGTCCGAGTGTCGGACCAGACTACAGGAATCTCTGGGAATGGTCTGAGGAGCAGCATGTGAATGTGTGTGGTGGTGATCTTCGGATTTAGGATGGACTGAGTATTAGAAAGTCTTGTTATTAAATCTGAATAATCGTGGTGTAATATATACTGCAATACAACATGTTGTAAATATGTTACTACTTACTAGCAGTGTCTGGGTTTTAAAAAAACAGAATGTACTGATGCAGACTTTTAGCTCAGTGAAGATGTTTGACGGATGACTTTAGAGTAAAGTTACAGTTTGCCCTGGTTGCCTCTGTCCGTGACCCTGCTTGGAGTGACATCATTCTGAAGTATGATCCTCTGACTGCCCTGTTCTCTCGTCCTTGTCAAGTTAGGGACACAATTATATGTCATAAAAATATTGGGTGTGTCATAGATTTGCTTCTTGGGAGGGCTCATGGCTTAAAATGTAATTGCTTTGAAGTTGTTATTGTCCTTGAACTGTCCATTTTAGACAAGAAGTTGTTATTTTGAAGGATACTTTTAGGCCACAAATACAAATCATTTCGACAGACTTCTGTATCAGGTGTCAGTTGATTTTACATCTTCAGATAGCTATGAATGAGACACTTCTTCCAAAAAATCATAACTTATTATTGTTTTCTTTAACTCGATCTTCACAGAATGATTCTCAGTGTAGATGCAACGTCTAGAAATCAAATACCTACTTTCTCATTTGGAAGAACTTGAACATTTTGTCCTATGATGGATGTATTCAGAAGCTGTTGTCCATGTATCTCCACAGTACTTGGTGGTCAGGGTTGCAAGCAATTATGTCATTGTTCATCTACCATCTAGTTACAGTGTAACCTGTGCAAAAATCTTATGCATTCTTCATGTGCTGTCATGAACAAGAAGGGATGTTGTTGCTGTCATCTCAAAGAGATCCGGGGTAGAATAGGTCTCCAGCAACCCATGCTTCTTGCCACAAAAGGCGACTGCTTGTCGTAAGAGGCGACTAACGGGATCGGGTGGTCAGGCTCACTGGACTTGGTTGATTACATGCCGTCAGTTCCCAATTGCGCAGATTGATGTTCATGCTGTTGATCACTGGATTGTCTGGTCCAGACTCGATTATTTACAGACTGCCGCCATATAGCTGGAATATTGCTTTAGAGCAGCGTAAAACTAAACTCACTCACTCACACTCACTCACTCACTCATTCAAAGAAGATGGTTCATCTGATGATGCAGTTCATTGTGCAGTTGCATCCCACTGGCATGCCACAATCGTTCGTTGTAATTCTAATCTAGCCTTTATACAGTTCTTGCTTTGTTGCAACACCTGTGGTGTCTCAGAGCTGCATCAGTTCCTGACCCATTACGTGGATACGTCCTTATATCACTGAGAAATGTTCAAAGTTGCATTTACCCAACACCTCACTGTATCAGTGCATCTGTGTTCTGCCATCATGACTTGCAGTTGCACAGTCTCTGTGGGATGTAGAAATGCCTGAAACAACATATTTTCTTTAATTGTTCAGTCTGTAAGTATGATCGTGTCAGCTCATCTGTGACTAATTTTGCAATAGGGATCCTTTCTGTCATCTCTTATGTTTCTGAAGTGATGCAGTGTCAATCCTGATGTTAAGGTTTTCTATACAACACACCATTATTCCACAGCTCCTAATGTTGAGCACTGCCATGGCAACCAGCAAGACATAGTATGGATAACAGCCAGTAGGGTGTAAACATGGTTACTGATTCATAATCTCATTGTAGCCAACTTGGTTTTTCTTTTTTCAGTTTGATCACAGATTAAACAGCCATTTGTTGAGAACATGGTGACAGTGTATCCATGCTGACAGAGCTGCTTTTCATGTCTTTTGCCGCATGTAGTAGATGACACTACAATGTTTTGTGGGATGGTAGTTTCTTAAAGTCAAATATCATTGCTGACACTTCTGTGATGCTGTTGTTAAAGTCTGAACCAGATCTGTTGAAATCTGATTCTTTGATGTACATTGTACACTTTGGAGTTGAAATGTCTACTTTGGTAATTGTATCATGCTGAAATTTCATCTTCACCTAAACATTAGGTTTTGGTGTGATCAAATAGTCACCAGATCTATATCCCCCACTGAGAGGTCTTGTGAATGCTTCCATCCTAACCTACTTGACATTCTGTCATCCCCAACCCCCATCCCCACAGGCATCCAAACCCCTCCCCAAATCAGCACCTCAAGGGTAGAAGGGAGTTACTAAGACAGTGCATGGTATAGCACAGGGAGAAGCTGCAGCTAGGAGGACAACACCCTAACACTCAATGCCTCTGTTGTGCCCCCAGGTTCCACTACATGGGCTGGCCTACAGTGTGTGAGTGTATTGTAGTGTGAGGTTGATCTGGTGCTGCTGGGCCCAGCACACAGTATTGAATACTGCTGCTTGAGTGAAAGGCTGTGAGCTGATAATGGAGCCTGTTGGAGAGGAACTCCACTCGTCTGTGATCTGTAGATTATTTTGTGTTTGTA